AAGTCTTCATGAAAGCACCAAAACACCGGAGAACAGTCCTTAGAGCAAATTCAATTTATTTTCCAAATTTTGCCTCAATCGCTCAGGAATTATTCACAATTGCAAAAAGCTCAATATAAACTGTATCTGTGGTGTACATATTTTAGTCTATCTGTGGCCACATTTTAGAGTGTATGTGGCCAAGCAAATCAATCAGGAAAAAAGGGAAAACTATATAAAGAAAATTACAAAGCTGTAACAACTTTATTTCACTATATTTATGTATTATTTTACCAAAGTTATATATATTCTTTTACAATGATACATTATATTGAAAAACAAGATACCAAAATACAATACCATTTGTTTGTTTTACATGATCAAGGCATAGATTATTGTTAATTTGATCATAAGGCAATTACTGATCATAGCCTAAATTTTAATGTGGTGTTAAAATTCAAATGACTAAAGAATTTTTGAGTAGGCCTACTTAAAAAGTTACATACTAATTAATAATTTAATAAAAAATACCTCCGCCGCAGCAAACCTGCAGACTTAGTGAATTTCCATTTACCTGATTTGATTTTCAATTAAATCTATTTCAATAAAATTAGGTTTAACGAGTACCTATTACATTTTACAATTTAGGAGTACGCGCTATTACAATTTACAAGAATCAACAATCTCTAATATACATTCATGTCGGAATGAACTAATACAAAATAATATCACTATAAGTGATATTTTCTTAATCTGTACCGGTAATAAAATATTAAATTTAAATCTTGTTTTAGCAGATTAGGCTTATTGGAAAATCAACTTTTTATGAATTAAAACGAGGCGATGTTTCTGTACCTGCTTATACTATGCCTTATTTTGAACTCCCTCCTTTAAAGTGATTTATTTATTTCCAAGTGAATTAAAGAGGGTTAGTTAACATATTTTACAACAAAATCCTAGAACATTTTCTTAGGGAATATTAAATATAATGTAGATCATAAGAATTATCAAAATTAAAAAGTTCTTTGTGTCATCAATATAATATTCATCCACAATTCTGTGAGACTACCATGTTCAGTTTGTAAATATTGGCAAATCAATAACTGTGTAATCTTTACTAATTAAGTGTTAAAACTACTTTTCATGTATTGTTGTTAGATAATGTTAAAACAATTTAGAAATAGGTTGGAATCTTGAACTAGTACCTACAGCAAGGAAACAAAATATGAATCAATTCAGTAATCATATTAAATACTTGACACAACTCTCCTCAGAAAATAATTTAAGTAGTATTTTATTATAGTAAATCTACTAAAAATAAACCATTATCAGCTCTATGATTAAAGCTTTTGGTATCAGGCAAGTCTTAACAGCTGTAAAACTTATCTAGCTTTAAATTTCTTCTAAATATAACTAGGAACCTCTTTCGAAAACTTATTGAAAAAGTTTCCCATCCAGTTACGTACATCCTATTCTCAATATAATCAAATCTATTTACAAAATATCTCCCAAGAAAAAAAACACATACAGTAATCAATAAACTAAGCACTTTTACAATAAATATGTCTTTTAAATAACAAAGAAAATATCAGATAACCTTTCATCACAACTCTCCAGTACTTTTGGAAAAAAATAGCACATATTGGTACAACCAATGAGTATAAAAAGTAAAAACTATTTTTATATTTAAACATTAAATTAACAAAAATAAAACAATTTGTTTACAAACAAAGTATTACATACAATAAATTTAATTAAAGTGCAAAAGGTGCAGAAGAAATAATAACTAGATGGCTCATGAAACTCCACCAAACATATCTACTTATTGTACTTCTGAAATCTCTTAATGATTACAGTATTGAAAATACACACAGGTCCCCACAAGTTCCAAATTGAACCTGATTTGTAAAAATTGAATTTGTATTAACATTTTATATCAATATTACTCCTCCCCCTCTTATTTCCACAAAAATGAGGTTTTTTAATTTCCAAATTTCTGGGGCAGTAGATTTATTGGGTCACAAGTTTCATGAACAGACAAATTTTTTAAACATTTCTTACTGGTCCTTTGGAATAGTTTCTACTGTACTTTATTTATACATACTCAGAAAAAACAATCAGCTAGCAAAATACATACACAAGTAGAAGAGGTTTCCCAGGCAACATTTTAAAGGCAACAGATTAATTGGCAGAATATTATATGTCCTGCATTTTTGAGTTCTCATTGAAATATTTATAGGCGAAGTGATCAGTCTCTAAAATGAAAGTTTAAAAAAGAAAGTTTGATTCTACTGAAAACATTTGCAACATCAATATCATCCTTGTTTAACAACAATTTATTTGTAACATTAGGTATAATACATCGATTAAATTATTATAACTCAGCAATAACTACTTAATAGTTAATAAATCTAAGATTAATACACAATCAACAGAATACAATATAGGCCTGCTGAATTTTATTACAATTTAAGTTGTCAGTAATCAATTTTGATCATAGTTATTTTTGTTTACATTCATGATCTCAAATTGAATCCTTATTAATTATCTCCTAGTTGCATAATTTATTCTTTTAAAAGTAACAAATAATTTCTTAGATAAAAAAAGATCACTTAGGATAAAACAAATCTTATTAACACTGTTTGTGTCAGTAACAGACTGACTCACGGACCACTGGAAAGTGGGAGGAGCTAGTGATGTGTAATAACCAAATAGATTGGGGGAGCAAGCTGGTGTAGTGGTTAGAGCGCGGGACTTCGGTCCCAGGTTCAAATCCCGCCAAATCATCAATAGATTTTATCTAAGTGATAATACTGCAACCCCTAGGTCTAGCCTGAATGTGAAAAACAATCACAGGCTCGTGCCTAGCGTCCTAGGAAAAAAACCAAATAGATAAACCGTTCACGATTTAGTCAGCTAGATTTGAAATCTAATCCAAAATTTGGCTCAATTACCCACAACTCCGTTCTTTCAAGGCAGTAAACGTAATAAATGTAAATAGGGATGTTTAAGTTTTTTTTATACACAATTGATATAATTTAGAGATTTTAAACAATCAATTCATCAGGAAATGATCATGATGTTGCTATGATTGTTGGGGATGCTCATAGACTTTGCCGCAATAGCGGAACAAATAAATTCTAGTTTTAGAATAGATTTGAAATAAAGAAGATTACTTGTAAGTAGGGGTCTGCGGTACAAAATCGGTACGATCATGGCTATCAATATTTTTGCCGCTTTCTTCTCAGAATTGTATTTAAAACCATAATTTTAAATTGTACCGGTAATAATTTTTTTTTCCTAGGACGCTAGGAACAAGCCTGGGATTGTTTTTCACATTACTTCAGGCTAGACCTAGGGGTTGCATGCCGATGCCGCAACCCCTAGGTCTAGCCTGAAGTAATTATCACTTAGCATTATCACTTAGATAAAATCCATTGATGATTTGGCGGGATTTGAACCCGGGACCTCTTGGACCAAAGTCCCACGCTCTAACCACTAGACCAGCTCGCTCCCCAGATGACCATAAAAATGGATAGTGTCCTATATTCATGGTTTTCTAACAACAATAACAGTACAGTAGCACACATTATTACCCCTAACAGGATTGTGTCAAGAAAGAAACACAGTTAAGATAAAGGCTTTACTTATTTTATTACTAAGATAAGGCATAGCCATGATAAAGTGGTTTTAGAATAAGGATAAGAAGATTTAGGAATAAAAATGTTTGAAGCAATTTGGAACAATTTCACACAACTAGTAAATTATACATAAAAGTCTTAGAAAAGAAGCCTACTACAAGCTACAATGAAAAAAAATATTGTAATTGAGGCACGAATGTTCTTTGGGAATATTTCAATAAAGATTTGGCTATAGTTAATTAGTACAAACACCGGTTTAGAGGAGCCAGTCCATTACTGAAAGACATTTGTAGAAATAATAAAACTAAAATAGTAAAAAATTGGCTTGTTTAATTTATTGTTAAATATAAATATGTTAAATGGCTTGTATTCATTCAGTTTAATCAGTTATTGTTTATGTGATGACATTTTTACATTTTTCAGATATTTGTGATATTGCGACACTTTGGATACATTTTATAAAATTATACCTAAAACAAATCCACAGAGTAAAATTAGTCAATTTCTTTGAGATCAATACCAAGATATTCGCAGGCCTACTCACAGGTAAAGTAAACTTTGTACAACGATAATCATTGTTATACAAACCATAATCACAGACAATTATTATTCTTACAACCTATAAATAACATTAAACAATACATCAGATTGAGTAATGAATCCAAATGCATAAGATACGAGGGTTGTTTTTTTTTCAACCTCCGATAGGCTATGAACAAAAGACAAGTTCATATAAAACATTAAATTTATTACCAAAAGTTTGGTCCATTTATGGTTACTTTTTGACATAATCACCAAAGAGATTGGGACATTTGCTATATCTGTGCACCAGCTTTTTAATAACCTCTTCAAGAAAAGTGGCCGCCAGTACATTCAAAAAACAAAAAAATTCAAAAAAACAAAAAATGTAAAAAAAATAAAAAAATCAAGAAAAAATAAAAAAAGGACTTTAAAATTTCTAGAAATTCAGTAAAAAAAGCAATAATTGTGAATCTGTGGTTTATTTAACCATCCTGTCAAACTGTTGAACCAAGTCATCTGAAACGACAGTAATGAGCTGGTTCAACAAGTTGGCAGAATGGTTAAATAAACCACAGATTCACCATTATTGATTTGTTAACTGGATTTCTAGACATTTTAAAGTCCTTTTTTTATTTTTTATAGATTTTTTTATTTTTTGACATTTTTTTGTTTTTTGAATTTTTTTTGTTTTTTGGAATGTACTGGCGGCCACTTTTCTTGAAGAGGTTATTAAAAAGCTGGTGCACAGATATAGCAAATGTCTCAACCTCTTTGGTGATTATGTCAAAAAGTAACCATAAATGGACCAAACTTTTGGTAATAAATTTAATGTTTTATATGAACTTGTCTTTTGTTCATAGCCTATCGGAGGTTGAAAAAAAAACAACCCTCGTACAAATTTTAATTTGTAATGGGCTACCGAAATAATTTGGTACTATGTATGTACAGTTATTTACATATATTTACCGTGGTAGATTAACATTGCAGCTTCAATGTTGTAATGACTTTTTACATGTAATACTATAAGTATTCAAAACCAACAAATGGTAAAAATAAGTTTATAAATTATAAAGTCCAAGTAATAGGCCTACTTTAATGTAGGGGTGGGTGATTATTCCAATATTGATCAGTATTTTCAGTGATTTATTTTGATATACGTACCAAGGTAACGGACATCCAAAGCCAAAATGGGTGATCTTTAAATTGTATATTCAAAAAGACTGTATGCAAATAGTGAATAGTAGTTATTTATCACACTCCTCATAAATATTATTTAAATTAGGCTTTAACATGCCTAATCAAGGGGTAATTTATTAAACATTTTGTGAACACGTTTGGACAAAACTTATTTAAACAATAATTCTCACACACTCTTACTTAAAACATAAACTAGTATTACTGAAACAGTCTTGTGAAAACGAGGAAGTGCAAAAAAATACCTTTTAAATATTGATGTGTTGATTCTCAATACAGATTCTCGATACCAAATTGGCCGTTGGTATCGGTAACGAGAATCGATCGTAAAAATTCTATTCCAATTTCTGTCACGCCTGTGTGAGTGGAAAATTACCGACAACGACGTTTCCGTGATCACAGGAGATGTTCATGATTCTGCCGCGATCACGGAAGTTGACGATGGTGTCTTAACTGCCACGGAAGATGTTCATGATTTTGCCACTATAGCGGACTTTGTCATTTCCGACAACGGTAGATGATAATTATGTCTACACGGTCGCGGGAAGTGTTCATGAGATCCATTCAGAAAATTTGATAAAACAATTAAAAAAAATTGGCGTCGGTATCGAGAATTAAGAATCAATTTTTCAGGTATCAGTATCGAGAATCAATAAATTTTGGTATCGACACATCACTACTTATAAATATTACCTACCACTCAACATTCTGTAGTACAAATTTTAATGAAATACCGCTGCATGGTTTTTTTCATAAAGAATAAGTTAAACTTAAAAAATGTATGCAGATTTTAGTACATGGTTTTTTTACTGTAACTCCTTAAATTTGTTATCAACAATGCTGTCTAGCAAATTCTGATTTGAGCTTGTTTGGGACAATTAAATCCTGTAGGGTAGACTCAGGGCTATGATGAGGAGGGTGAGTGTGGGGGAAGGTAGACTGGAACACACAAGTAGCCTGGCTGTCGGTCGTGGTCTGTCCTGGGATGTGGAGAACTACCTCCGTCACAGCAACATGGCACCTGCACAAAAATAATTTTGTCCAACATCTCTCAACAAAAACATTTAGACGATTTAATTAGATTAACCAACAAAAAGCCTTAAGAATAAGACTTTGTAACTCATAGCTTGACTATGAATGAGCACAGGATTTGAAATAAGGCCGTTGTTGACATGGTTTTGCGAAGTAAACAAGTAAAAACGAATCAGGCAATGAGACAACAGATAAATTATAAAGCCAAAATCTCCAAAGCCTCAGAGACTGGCCTGTTCTGAAGCTATTAGTTTTGGTCCCCGATTAATTTGATTACTGTGTATATTGTACCATTAGGCTAGCTTGCTCCACACGACTATTATTTTATTTCAATATGATACGAGGGTAGTTCGGAAAATAACCTCCGTTAGCTTCTTGCGTGGGAAGTGTAGGGGTTCGCGCCACCATTCTTGTGCCAGCCGTGGTAGTGTAAAGGTCGTCTGAGTGCTAGTTTTTTTGCCGTTGCTAGTCAAAATGAGTACTGCAATCGAACATCTCGGTTTTAATAGCTAAACAGTATTCAGCAGCAACTACTCATAGAGAAATTTGTGCTGTGTATGGACCTAAAATAATGAGTATGGAGTTGTACGGGAATGGGTTTGCTCGATTAAAAATGGACGAACGAACGTGCATGATGAAGAAAGAAGTGGCAGGCAATCTGTGGTCAGTGATAAAATGGTTGAGAAAATCAACCACGTTGAATTTATGGAACGTGGTGCAACAATCAATGCGGATTTGTATGTTGAAACTCTGATGAACCTAAGACGGGCGATCCAAAACAAACGCTGCGATCTACTGCCATTTGGCGTCGTCCCTCTGCATGACAACGCATGTCCTCCTACTTTCCAAAAAACCAAGGACATTATGGTCTGAAGGCAGGTCCAACTCGTTGCTATGTACCACCTGAACAATTTATGAGTGCCCTTTGTTGTCCCCTTTGGTTTTCCATAATTTTTCACATCTAAGGTGTAGTACTGTTTTTCTTGCTACCACCTTAATAAAGATGATGATGACGATGGGTAGTAATATCAAGCCGACAATCAATGGCTGCTCCAGGACAGCTGCTTACTGCCTCAGTTATTATAAGACCAGCAAGTCTCTGAGCTCCTGCTAAAGCTTTAACTGCTGCAGTAGATTCCATCTTGGGCCACCACACAAGCGAATCATATGTCAAGGCAAGTGGGAAACAGATACGTATACAACCAGTGCAGGAGTCTAGGCTGTAACCCCTATGTTCCGCCAACCAGTCGCCTGCATGCTATTAGGGACCACTTACCACAGTCAATGACTCTTTGAAGATGTGGTCCCCACTCCCCAGTGAAGTGATCTGTCCAAAATTACACCTAGATACTTTACCTGATTTTGCAGCTCGATTTCGGTACCCTGCAGTATTAGCGGGCCGATCCCTTCCAGTTTTCTCCTTCTTGTGAAGGGTACCATTACAACTTTACCAAGGACTGTTTGGATCAGTTTAAATGGGATGTTTTTCACATCCTCCATATGGCCCAGATTTTGCTCCAAGTGACAACCACCTATTCAATCACATGAAAAAATGGCTTGGCTCACAGCGATTTGACAATGATGAAGAGCTGAAAAATGCAGTTCCAGGATGGCTCGAGGCACTGGCAGGTGATTTTTTAAAGAGGTAATTTCAAAGTTTGTCTATAGATATGATAAGTGTTTAAATGTCCAAGGGAAACTATATTGAAAAGTAGAGGAAATACGTAGTTTTAAGATGTATATAATAAACATGTTGTTTTTACTTCTATGTATTATTTATTGAAGAACAGAGGTTACTTTCCGAACAGCCCTCGTATATTTCAATTCCATCACCTATTGTTACGTAAGATATTGATATAATACCTTATAAACAGCTGTTGCAGTGGGGGGAGGTGTGGTGTCTGTGTAGGGATGAGGGTGGAAGCTTGTTAACAGAGGCAGTGTAACCTCGGGAGCAGTCGGTTGTTCTCCCTCTTGGTGCACACAGCTCACTGTAACAAACACAAACTTCTAAATACAGTAGATACTATAAAATTTTACTTTGTTGATATTTGACTTAAAAATTTTGAAACTAAAATAAAGCTTGGAGGAAGAAGCCGATGGCTGCCGAGCTGATACTCAGACAAAGTTGGCTAGTGGTTAAGGCCACATGAGTGGGGACAGCTGATGTTTAAAGGATTCCACACTACTGAGGTCAACAACATGGCCAGGGAGCGTGAGTGCAGAGGGTTAACTACAAGCTTCTTGTACACATTAATACAAATCGACAAGATCTAAAAGTGTTTTATCTTTTTAAAAAATTTTAAAAAAATTACTGACATTGCCAGGAATTAAAGGAAATGGACAGGAAAGCAGGCTTACCTTTAAATAAGTCCATAGAGACACATATATAAACCTCTTGTGTAAACGTGATGTATATATATACATATGTGTCTCTATGGACTTCAAAAGGTCATCATTGGGTTGATAAAACTACTATGAGGAGGCACATTTAAAATACATTTTTCAAAATGTCAAATTTCTTCTGAATTGTGTTGATCTGCTGGTAAATTTGCAAACACCGTTTACATTGTATGTTTATACCTGACTCCAAGAGAAGGTCTTCATGACTCCGCTTGGTGGAGTCTCCAGTACCACTGTCCTTGCTGCTACTGGAATGTTCAGACTTGTTGTCCAGATGGACTGGAGGTAGAGGAGGGGGGGAGTTGAGCCTCTTACGGGTCTGGTAGATGATGATGACCCACACTATGGAAGTTCCCACAGCACAGCACACTACTGTGATGATGATCACTCCTGTCATATCTTCCTCACTTGCACTGCTGTCGTACACTGCAACAGATAGACAGAGCAATTGTAATCTTTGAACATTTACAGTTTTACTTCAAACTATTATTAGACAGTTCATTTATAAAGAATGTTACTATAGCGATCAATTTTTTCCAGGCAATTCGGTCATCATCATGACCAATCGGGGACATAGAGAAACAAAATGGTGTCCTCCACTTGCTTGGACACAATTACAGAGGGTCTACGAAATCTTGCTTAAAATTGTAAGGAGTTTTCCAGTAGAATTGAAGAAAAATTCCTGATTATTAAGTACTACTAACAGAGCTCAGGGCTATTACTACCAACCTTTGGGCTTCATAACACTCCTTATATAGTAGTAAATACATTTAAAAGAATTTTTTTTTTAATTACATAAAGCTTTTTTAACCACTAAATGCAAGATATCAGGCATATCTTGTGGTCTCGGTGACAGCAGTAATCTTCTCTCGCGATAGTGGCAATACCGCCTTCAAGGCAATCAGCCTTTCGGTTAACCAACATTTCACTTCAAATTCAAAATTCAAATTATATATTAACTGATAACATCTTTACAACATCATAACACTTGACAAGGCTTTGGATAATTGCTCTACTATATTAAATATAGTAGTGTGTTAATTATCCAAAGCCCAGTTTAATGTCCTAAGTTTTTTTCCTGAAGGGTTGATTTGGTTCTTAGAGTTTCCAGCATATTCCATAGTAAAGGCTGTCTCAAAATTTGAGGCAGACTACCTGACCAGAGGGTAGACCAGGACACTGGCTAGGTTGACCCTCCTGACCCTTGGAGTAAATCCTATTAACCATGGCCTCACTGAATACTCCACTGAAAAGTTTAAATATACTCGATTCGTTATATCTGAAAATAATGTATTCTAGGTTATCACAAAACAAAATGTTTCAAGTTCGTACCATGAACATCGGCCAACTTTAAGTATTAAAACAAACTGCTTTTTTTTTTCTTGAGACCTAGTAGAAACTTAATTTAGTATTAATATTGCATTATATAATAATAAAAAATGGCATGAGATAAGCAATTTAATGTGTTACAGTCAAACTTTCTTTTATATACTGAATATAATAATTACGTAAATATAATTAATTTGTTTCAGATTATTTTAAACATAATTTTATTTTTTCTAACACAGTGAAAGTTCAACTGCAACACATTAAATTGAACATCTCATCTCATACCTTTTTATGATATCTACACAATTTACTACTAATATCAATTAGTAATTAAAAATTAAGTATTTTACTTAGCTACGAGAGGAAAAGATTGTTTTAATACTTAAAGTCGGCCGATTTGCATGGGACAGACATGGAAATACTAAGGCTATTCAGAAAGTAAAGAACGTTTTGTTATGACGCAGCTACCTGTGCGCCGATCGCACACATTTTGCTGCGTACGCACTCGGCAATTCAGTCGGCGTTCAGCCGTGACAACGGGAGCATTCTCGTGCTGCCAGTTTTTTCACAATTTCAACTTAAGCTGAGCACTGCGATTAAAAATCCCGCCAGTTAAGAAGTGCGGTCAATGATACGATTTTTGTTGGAAAAAAACTTAAAACAGAAACTTCTCCTCAAGTTTCACGGACTTTGTTGTTTGAAATTGCCACACAACTAGAAGCAAATGCTCTGTTATCAGGAATCAGCGCTTTTCGTGAACCTTATCATCAATTTTAGTGACCAATTCCATCAGTCACAATGATCGGGTGTCCGCCCTTCGCTTCGTCATGACTCATGAGTGTCAGCTCGGCCATTTTTAAACTGAATGCACTATTTTCTCACAACTTTCATTCATTACGTTGTTTCCTTAAACTTCACACACTTGGCGAAAAATGTCTATTGGTTTTAAGTTTTTTTCCAACAAAAACCAAATCACTGACCGCACTTCTTAACTGGCGGGATTTCTAATCGCAGCGCTCATCTTAAGTTGAAATTGTGAAAAAACAGGCAGCGCGAGAATGCTCCCGCTGACACGGCTAGACGCCGACCGAGTTGCCGAGTGCGCACGCACCAAAATGTACGCGATCGGCACGCACCTAGTGGCATTAGAACAAAACGTTCTTTACTTTCTGGATGACCCTCGTATTTGTTTTTATGGAAACTTTAAATATATTATAGGATATAAAAAAATTATTATATTTTCAATTATTAGTTACATTTTTACTTTTATGTGGAGAATACAGTGATGCGTGGTTAATGGGATCTAAGCAAAAGGATGGGAGGGTCGGCCTAGCCATTGTTCTGTTCCACCCTCTCTTGGTCAGGTGATCTGCCTCAACTTAAGCTGAGACACCTATTGAATACGGTACCTACTAAATTGTAGATCTTTCCGTGAGAGCCGCGTCAAATTGGTATTTCCACTATTTACATGGTCTACTATTGTTTGATAGTTACCTGGCAGCACAGTGAGCGTGACCTGACCCCGCTCTGAGCCCAGAGTGTTGGTCAACTCACAGGAGTAGACACCCTCGTCTGTCAGTTGAGTGTCCATGATGATCAACAGCTGGTCCTCTGCAGTGAAGAAGTGTCTGTCTGTGAGATGTAAAGGTCGTCCGTCCTTGGTCCAGCGTAAACACGGCTTGGGAGATCCTCCGGCCATACACTCCAGCACCACAGCCTCCCCGGCCCTCACCTCCTTGTCTTCCATCTTCTTCACAAACCAAGGTGGTTCTGCAACCATACCAATGGTTAGTTATCCATAGCGTAAATATGAAAGCATAATATTAGAATACAGTGGGACCTTATGCATTAGGTGTGGGAACACACTGTAAAACAAAAAAAAAAAAAAAAAAAAAAAAAAACACAAAAGCGCTGTAGAGAACATCAAGTAATGGCTAGACCAATAAATTCATGTAAAATTAGAGAAACAGACAATTGGTCAAAAAATAAGTCAGGAAATCGAGCTCTGCAGAGCTTTTAGGATTGTGACCAAAGAACTTGGTAACAAATATTGATTGGTTGAGAAATTTACACTTTTTTCATGATCACGACTGACGAAACATTTTTTTTTAAATGCATTAAATGCATAGGCCTTAATATATTTTTTATAAGAGACTGCAAAAATGAAAGAGAGATTATTATTTTTAGGCAAACTGAAAACACCAGAGGCTAATGTTCAGTTGAAAATTTTGAAAGCACAATATAAAGATGCTATTCATGAGGCTAAGCTTAACTTTAACGTAAATAAAATTGAAAGGAGTAAAAACAAGTGTAAGGCTGCGTGGCAAATAATTAACATTAATAGGCCTAATAGTAATTTGTTAAGTAAGAATCAGGAAGTCAATATACATCCCCATGTATTTAATGAATATTTTATTAATTCAGTTAAAGATATTAAGAAACAAATAGATAACCCCTGTATTAGTGTAAGAGACTTAGTGCATAAGGTAAATATTAATCATAAGGTTTTTGAATGGAAGTTAATCTCACCCAGTGATGTTATTGATGCTGCAAAGAGAATGAAAAACACAAAAAGTAAAGATATTTATAATTTATCTAATGATCTGGTTAAAAATATAATTCACAGTATTGCTCAACCGTTATCTTTTAGCTTTAACCAATGTCTGCAGGAAGGTATTTTTCCTAGTAAATTAAAAATCTCAAAAATATGTCCAATTTATAAGAAAGGCGCAAAAGACAAACCTGAAAGCTATCGACCTGTGTCGCTGATTCCAATTGTTGGTAAACTCTTTGAAATGTTGGTTTATGATCAAGTTAGTTATTTTTTAGAAGACAATAACTTTCTCAATTTTTCTCAATTTGGTTTTCGGAAAGGAAAATCTACTATCGATGCTGTGGATCGGCTCGTAAGAGAAGTGCTCATGACTTTTGAGAACAAAGCCTATGCTCAGGTCACTATGTGTGATCTGAGCAAGGCTTTTGATTGTGTTGACCATGATGATCTTTTATTAAAACTTAACTACTACGGGTTTTCTGGTAATTCATTAACTTTTTTTGAATCTTATCTTAAAAATAGACTTCAAACAGTCTCAGTTAATGGTGAACATTCCAAGGAAATCTTGGTTCAATATGGAGTCCCACAGGGATCTGTTTTAGGACCCCTGCTGTTCTTAATTAGTATTAATGATCTTCCTAGCTCTGTTCGTACAAAGTCTTTGTTATATGCTGATGATACCACTTTTGTAGACATTTCTGATGACTTTGTTCATCTCAATTTACTTGCCCAGACAACTTTGAAAGACGCTGCAACTTGGTTTAAAGCAAATGGATTTTTACTTAACAATCAAAAAACTCAAAAAATGTCATTTACATTAAGAACTGTAGATGGTGTAATTACTGATGATTTGGCCTCAAATGCAAAGTTTTTAGGAATTTATATTGATGACAAGTTAAACTGGCAACCACATATTGAGCACATATCTTGTAGACTTTCACGAGTTATCTATCTTTTAAAACGATTGACAATGTGCGTTCCAAGTCATTATCTAAAAACAGCTTACTTTGCCTATTTTCAATCTATTCTTAGATATGGTCTGATTTTGTTTGGTAACTGTGCTAAAATTGATGACATTCTTATCCTTCAGAAGAAGGCAATTAGAGTTATGACCAAGTCAGATGTAAGTGCTCATTGCAGGCCTTTATTTATTCAGTTGGAAATACAAACCATTATCAACCTTTACATTTTTGAACTTGTATCTTATATACTAAAAAAATCAGGATCTTGTTACACTCACTGGGGATATGCACAGTTACAACACTCGTAATAGGGATAAAGCAGTAATTGAGTACAATAGGCTCAGCAAATCACTGTCTAGTCATGTAGTACTATCCCTTAAGGTATATAATAAAGTAATTAATCTTAGTAAGAAATATGCTGTTAAAGTTTTTAAGAACAAATTTTATGAGTGGTTATCTAAAAATCCTTTCTATTCACTTAGTGAATTTTTCTTATTAAAACAGATAGAATTTTAATGTTTGAAATCTGTTATGTATAATTTTTGATTCTTGTATAGTTCCTATGAATTGTATATTTCTATGATATGTGATATTACCCTTAGGCCTAATTATTAGTATAGAGACTTGGCATTTCTGCTGTAAACTTGACTTTGTTAATGCTTATGTAGCCTGAAAGACAATAAACATATTCTTATTCTTATTCTTATGATATATCCGGGACCATGGGAGATGTTCAATTTTTACCGCAATCGTGGTGATGACCACCATAAAACAACCGTACAAAATGTATAATCACAGGAAATTATCCAATATTATTGCTATAACAGTGTGTTGGATGCATATTACACCAAATTTTTGATTGCTAAATGTATCACTGCTTGTCTAAATACATCATAACATTAAATTCATTAAATAAAAAAGCTCAGGCTAGCACACCTCTTAAAAATTACGCTGTGTTTACATTACAACTACGATATCAAATTTGATGACGCTCATGTCACATTAAAGTATAACATAATGAAACATTTATATATTAGGATAAGACATACTGTCAGCTATAGACAGTGGTTCGAATGACTCTACCGTGGTCAATAAAAAAAGGAAGCACAAAACCACGTTTATGTTTTGTATACCTTTAAAATTTTGTTACATAACCTCGTTGTCCAAGAAAAATAACAAGGAAATTTTATAAATTGTGTTTTCTTAGTCTAATTTGTTGGCTAAATATAACCATTTCTGCCCATTATTTATATGCAGTAGACTCCCACGTTATTGTTTTTGGAACATGAATGAGAGAAACCCATGAAAGAATAGAAGAACAAAGAGAACGAATAAGCTGTATTTTTGTGTCATTGCAATCTTCATCTAATTTTGACTGTTGTTAATATATTTAATTACTGTAATTTTATCCTTTTTACGATTTATTTAATGTTTTTACCGACATTCTTTTGTCCTGAAACAGCATGTAGCAGTTAGCAGTAGCCTATGACTAGCAGTAGGTACTGGAATTTCTATTAATCTGTTATTTACAAGATTTATTGCTGTACAGTGTTTGGAATTTGTTTGAAGCTGTGATTTAAAGTTACAGTTTTTAATACTGAACCAAGGCTAATGAGTTAACACATGAGGTTGAGTTCATAGAATCTGTAATAAATTCAATTGATGAGGGAGAAAAGGTTGTAGGAGTTTTCTTGGATGTAACTAAGGCTTTTGACAGTGTCTCACATTCTTTACTTATTAATAAATTGGCAAAACTAAAAATTAAAGAACCTATGTTATCCTGGCTAAAAAGCTATTTAACAAACAGAAAACAATATGTTGAGCTAGTTTACAATAATCAAAATAATTTAGTTATACAAAAATCAGAGATGAAACTAATTCACCATGGGGTGCCCCAAGGCTCAATTTTGGGACCACTTTTATTTTTAATATATATAAATGGATTACCTCAAGTCATTTCTGGTAATAAGGGAAACAAAATTTGCATCTATGCAGATGAGGCCAATTTGAAAATAAGTGGCAAATCTGCCATAGAAATAGAACAATCTATTAGCAATAATCTAAGTGATATAAATAACTTCTTTAGTGATCATCAACTATTGCTCAATATTTCAAAAACAAATTTAATGCCAATCAGCGCCACCAACAACAAAAATAATAAATTAAATCCCATCTCAATTACTATAAATAAAAATAAAATATCTCCAATAACTAACACAACATTTTTAGGTTTGATAATGAGTAACAATTTAAGTTGGGATTTACATATTGAACAGATAGCTAAACAAGTCACATCTGGTTTGTATGCTTTGTATAAATTATCTAATCTTTGTGATCTTAAAACACTAAAAATGATATATTTTGCTTATATTCATTCAAATATAAATTTTGGTATCTGCATCTACGGAGCTACAAGTAAAAGAAATTTGGATAGGCTTTTAATTTTACAAAAACGAGCATTGAGAATCATATTGGATATTAAATGGAGAGAGACCGTCAAAGAGGAATTAAAAAAAATTGGAATTATGACTGTATATGAAGTAATTTTATATTGTAGACAAAATTTTGCAGACTTACCTCTATTAGGTGAATGCCAAACCTACAATACAAGAAATAGGGGTACTATTGCAGCACCTGCCCATAGACTAAGTCTATATGAAAAGAAAACTACCTATGCTGGAGGTAAATTCTATAATAAACTTCCTGATCACATTAAGAAAGAAAATAATTTTTTCAAATTTAAACAACATTTGAAGTACCACTTGTTGTCACTACCTCTATACTCTTTAGAATTATACATGTTAAATTAGTGTTTTGTTTCTATTAGACTTGATTTCTTTATGTTAAGTTTTAGATTTAGTATTTGACGCCATTCCATGTACTGATTTATGTACAATATGAAATAAAGACGATTTGATTTGATTTGACATCATGAAGTTTGTAACAAATATTTATGTCATGTTGGATTAACATGGTATTTAATTATCCGTGGTCCCCCCATTACCCTAGATAATCGAGGTCTTGCTGTAAAATTAAATTAGTATACAGCAAGTTCCAGCTACCTCCAATTTCACTATCAAACTCTCAACATGAAAACTTTACATAGGCCTAGATCAGAGTAAAGATTTCTTGTGGTTCAGAAAATAAATTACCTCTTTGGTGGAAATTAAAACATAAACAATACGTTATACAAATGATAAAAATTACAAATAATAAGGAAACACACTATAAAACTTTGTGGATTTTGAAGGACATCTAGGACCCTGTTGAAATATCGTGACTTTTCTTGGAGATTGGGGATATCGGGGAACTTCCTAAACACAACTCATCTAAATAAACAAATTAAATAATAATTTAAAAAATAAAAACATAAAATCCCAAGTGACAGGCTAATTTGTATGGGTTAAATGTGAGGGGTAATGCAAAAAAGTTAACTGTTGTTGGAAGGAATAAATACTTCTTTCAACATTTAGAAAAATTGAAATATACAAATATTTACATCTATGTCACTTATTTTTTTTTATTCTATTATTAGAGTAATACACCTAAATAAGGTAGCTTGAATTTATCAGCAGAACAAGGTAAAAACCATTTTGGAAGCCGATTTATAAAGGTTAACAATAACAAAATCTTAGTTTTTGGAGTTGATTAGATTGAAGAATGGTGGAGTGTGGCAAAAAATATATTTTCATCTCATATTATAACCTCTTAGTGCATAACCGTTGTTTTTGCCTGAATTTCATTAATTCCCCCCTTGGTCGTCTCCTGATCACGGGTTTCTTTAAGTCCTGGTGATCCACTTACCAACAACAGTGAGGGTAGCATTTGCCACCACAGTGCCAGCAATGTTCTGTGCTGTACAACTGTACACCCCTGAATCTACTGGCTTTACATTTACTATGAAGAATACATCATCTGTTGGCATGACGTGAACTCTTCGTTCCTGAGCAGCAGGAAAATCTGTACCTCCGTCCTGAAACATTAAAAATATAATAAATGCTAAACAACAATAGAGTTGTTGAAATTACGATCTTAATTGATTATGTTTAATATTAATTATTATCATTAAATAAATGGTAACCCATAAGTAATAAAGTAGGAGTAGTTTAAATAGGTAAAAATAATACAAAAATCAAGAATATTTTTTTTTAAAGCCTTGATAGCAAGATATACCTCTTAAACTATCACAGATATCTTTATGAAATGTTGAATACTACTTTAAGTAACAATAAACTATTTGCAAAAAAATTATCATAGGTCATAGGTGGTCATTTATGTTTAATAACTTAAATGACTAAAAATGGCTAGGATCTTACGTAAAAAGAGGCAAAGACAACTTTTATTAAGATTTTAGGCATATCTGACAGTTTGGCATTATTTTCCTGGCCAGTAGAACTAAAAATTGTGATTTTTTAGCTATTCAATATTCAATCTCTGAACTTGATGTTGTTTGTCAGGAAATTCCAAATGCTACACATGTGTACTTGACATTTTATCATAAAATCGGTCAATATTTAGTAATACAGGTTATAAAACTTAAAATTACCGCCTTTTTTATAAAACAAATATTTTGTATATTTTTTTGCAAACAGTTTGTTGCTACTGAGATCATATACAAAATTTCTTTGATTTTTTATAGTTTTAACCCTTTTGAGGTCAACGGTCGTAATAGGAACCCGCGGCAAAATTCACATCCGCGGCCAGCGGCCGTAATAGGCACCTGTCTATATTTATCTAATATTTTTCTTTACAGGCCACCAAAACGTCCAAAACATGTAATTTGTCATGGAGTCTTTATATAGTATTGAATTTAGAGGAAACATACTCAATGGTCTTTTTTTTATGTTTCATTAAGTGTCTTTAAAATGTCAATATGAGTAAAAGAGTAATAAAAGAAAAAAAAGAGTGAACAGTCCCCTAAAAGTGAAAATACTTTGGTGAACAACATATTAGGTAGTGGTGTTCAGTTTGTTGATGATGATGGGGGGATTACGTGATAGTGATTGATTTAGATGCTATGTATGACAATGATTCTGAAGATGAATTAGAAAATGAATGTAATAGGCCTAGTGATGATGAAAGTGAACCTGTAGATGATACTGACGAAGACCCAGACTTTAAACCAACAGTGTCCACCAGAGAGTAGTTCTTCAGAGGAGGATGTTCCATCAACTTCAACTGGTAGGCCTAGGGGTAGACCTCCTAAAAGTTCAAATTCTTCCCAAAACAGTGGAGACTTAGATGATATAGGCCTAGGCCTGTCTGATCATAATGTTTACAATGTACAAACCCCTATTGGAAGGCTGATACAAATGAGGGTTGGGAATTGTATACAGAAGACGATGACCCAGTTCATGAATTTTTTCAAATTCCAGGTCCCAAACATTGTCCCCCAAATGATGCCAAACCATTATCATACTTTTCCTTGTTTTTTACACAAGCCCTGTTTGAATTATTTGTCACTCAGACAAATTTGTACGCCTAACAATATTTTGAGAAGTTTGCCAATCTTGAGAAGTTCTTTTGCCAAACTTCTCAAAATATTGTGAGACGTACAAATTTGTCTGGCAAACGTATAAAACCCATGTATAATAAATAAAATTGTACATGAAATCTTATTTTATATATTAAAAAAATATATAGCAAACAAAATTACCCTCACCACAGCAAACCTGCAGACTAAGCGAATTTCCATTTACCTGACTGGATTTGAACTAAAATATTCCCTGAAAATTGTCAGATTTTTTTCCTATTTAAATAAAATTAATTGTACATGGTGTCTACTAAACCTGGTTTGAAAAATTCAAGGAGTTTTCCAGGAGAATTCAAGACAAATTCCTGAATTTTAAGAGCTACTATCGGAACCCGTTCAACTAATTGCAATCCGCTAATAATAATTTATTATTACTATTAATGATTATTTTAATTTAAAACAAAACTTTTCCAAAGAAAAATATTTTATACAACATAATAAAACAGTATAACTAATAAGGTAAGGCGACACCAGCTATCATCTCCTGCGATCGTGGGAATACCGGTGAGCATATCTTGCAGTCTCGTCAACACAGGCAACCGATCGCGGCAAAACAGGTTCGCATATTTTATTATTTCAGCGACACCGATAATCGTCTCCCACGATCGCAGGAATACCCGTGAGCATATCCTGCGGTTTCGGCAACACCGATAATCGTCTCCCGCGATCACGGCAATACCCGTGAGCATCTCCTGCGGTTTCGGCAACACCAATAATCGTCTTCCGCGATCGCGGCAATACCCGGGAGCATATCCTGCGGTTTTGGCGACACCGATAATCGTCTCCCGCGATCGCGGCAAAACCCGTGAACATATCCTGCGGTTTCGGCAACACCGACAATCGTCTCCCGCGATCGCGGCAATACCCGTGAGTATATCCTGCGGTTTCGGCAACACCGATAATCGTCTCCCGCGATCGTGGCAAAACCCGTGAACATATCCTGCGGTTTCGGCAACACCGATAATCGTCTCCCGCGATCGCGGGAATACCCGTGAGCATATCCTGCGGTTTCGGCAACACCGATAATCGTCTCCCGCAATCGCGGCAAAACCCGTGAACATATCCTGCGGTTTCGGCAACACCGACAATCGTCTCCCGCGATCGCGGCAAAACCCGTGAACATATCCTGCGGTTTCGGCAACACCGACAATCGTCTCCCGCGAGCGCGGCAATACCAGTGAGCATATCCTGCGGTTTCGGCAACACCGATAATCGTCTCCCGCGATCGCGGCAATACCCGTGAACATATCCTGCAGTTTCGGCAACACCGATAATCGTCTCCCGCGAGCGCGGCAATACCCGTGAGGATATCTTGCCGTTTCGGCAACACCGTTTGTGGATTCCCGGAGGTTCCGGTGGATTCCTGGAGTTTTCCAGGACATTTCAAGGTAAGATAAAATTCCCGGTGTTTTCCCGGTTTTCCCGAATTTCCCGGAGAGTAGACACCATGTTGTAATGATTATCTAGGTTTGCTGCTATAGGGAAGGCATTGAAGTGTTTTTTGTTGAAATGTTGATAGCTTAGTAAGAAATAATAAAAATTGCCAAATTTGATCAAAATATTCAAAATATATCCATAAACAAGCAAACTACAACAGTTTATTTATTCTCTATAAGAATAACATGTGAATTTTTTTTTTAGTTTCTTTAATCATCTCCCTAACCTTTAGGCATACAACAACGCTTCAATATACAAAATTATTTATTTTTTTAATCCCTACAAAATGGTCTGAAAAGAAATTGTGAAATTTTATGTTTTTAGAGTAAAAAATGGGAAAACTAATTTTTACCCCATAAAACCCCCCATAAACCCCCGTTCCAATAGTTCAATCATGCTGGTTCGCGAACTCATTTGAATAAACGTAGGTTTAAACGTTTGTACCGAATTTCATCAAAATCGGATCATTTTTGTTTGAGTTATCGCACAAACGGACAGATATATATATATATGAATGTGAATGGAGGGTGTTTTTGGCCTCTGGGGACCTCAAAACGAAAAAGTAAATCGGTTCCAGGTCTAGGTCTTAATGAGACCTACGATAATAGCTTATTCCCTATATGGGAAATTCGCTAACACCATCGGTGATGGGAAATTCGCTAACAACACCATCGGTGACTTACGGAGCCGGTCTCCGAGCTACGCGACTGTTAGGGCTTCAACTGATTAATAGGGGTTTTGCGGGGGAGGTGTGAGATCAAAATAATGTTCAATCCGTTCCTAGAAAGATGCACGCAAGGTACTGTTACTCCTAAAGTTACTGGCTGGCGATAATACACATTTCTCTATAAAAACAAATGCGCCTGGAGGAAAACTCCTTGGTGTCACCGACGAAGGGTTAATAGCTACTTGCTTTATAAAGCAAACAATGAAGGTAAGTTTTTGACCAGGTTTGATTATACAGCAGAAATAATCAACGAGTTGGCTGAAGAAAGATTGGTCCGTGATTGACCTGCTGCAGGTGGTGGAGATGGGCCAGGACAAAATATATTTGGAATTGAGCACCTTCCTGGAAGGTTAGAGAAAAACTGCTCAGTTTGCAGTATATTAAGTACTGCTAATGGGGGTCCTAGAAAGAGATCACGATACTGTTGTAAAAAATGTAAGCAAGGTATTGATTATGTTTTGGCGACCAGAAGTGCTAACCTACCGTGTGTTACAGTATCGAATTGATGTAAATAACCTATTGTAAATAATTTTAAGTGTTTTACTACATTAGTGTATGGATATTCTCAAGTATTTTGTAGATTCTGTTAGGTGTGAGAAAGAACAAAATATTCTACAAGATAGGCCTAGTAAAGATAGACTTGCTTTTCTCTCATTAAAAAAAAACCACAGTTGGAAATTTCAAATAATTTACTATAACTGGACTTCAACTAAAGGTAATTACTTGAAAATTGGCATGTTAGCTATAAACAATATTTACTAAAAGAAAATGCATGTCTTTTGTGTTGAAAACCAACTTCTATATTTTTTATTTGTTGTCAAAAATAAAAAAAACAAAAGGTTTTTGTATATTACATACGTGAATATATACATTTTTTAAAGTTAAAAATTACTAACACCATTAGTGTTTTTAAAAGACTCTACTACTACAAAAAATTATGGGTTTCTGATAATAAATATGGTAGTTATGGCTTATTTACCAAAACGATGTGACGCAGAACAAAAATAGCCTGGCCTTTTAGGTGCATAACTCAATAATAGGGCTGGCCTTAGTGACCGGTACCACAAAAGTTGATGGCCTTAAAAGGGTTATCTGCAGAAATTTTAAATACACAAAAACAAGATGGTGGATATCTCGCTAACAATGTGTTTGTGAAAAATATTTTGAGCCTATTCTGGATTTTTTTTATTTTGACTAATTAAACCTATTTCTAAATTGTTTGTACTTACTTCAGGGACACCCTATATATCAGAATCAGAAAACAATAAATTGTGAGTGTTTTGATGGTTATTTGTCATTGTCAACAAAACCATCATCAAAGGAAAGGGGTTTACTACATTAAGATTGTTTAGCATTAAGCTTGTTTATACATAAATATAACCTAAATATTTATTTATAAAATTAGATTATTACAATTTCATTTGAATTCAAAGAAAGATACGATAATGTAAGATAAGATAAGAGGTAAGATAATGAATATATAAAGAATTATAAGATATCAAGAGACCAACCTTTTGCCAGCCAATTTGTGGAGAAGGGTGGCCACTGGCTGAACACTCAAGCCGAGCCATGCTACCTGACTTGGTAGTCACATTGCTGGGGGTTTTTAATAACTGCGGGAAGGCTGTTAATTAAAAAAAGATTAGATTAGAAAAATTCACGTCTTTTTACCTAATCTAATATTAAATAACTAAGAAATAACAATACCTACTAGTCTAATGGTATCCCAGAAATATAATTTCCTGGCGCGATAAGGTTAAATTTAAAACTAAAACTTTAAACCTGCTGGCAAAACCATTTGAATAAGTATGAATCACTTCACTAAGACAGTGTTGCACTTTGGCAGCATATTTGAAGCTGAATATGAAATGAATGGAGAACAAGTGGTACACAGATTTGTTAATGCCTAAGATCAGCTGTTTATTTAGTCCAGGTCATTTATTAAAATATTTATAGTCAAAGAAAGCTGGGTTGTTTTGATCCATCAAAAAGCTACTGACTTATCTTAGAGTTGAACCATTGATCTTCTAAATGTTAGGCGACCGTGAGCAATCGGCTATACCTTGAGATCACTTGTCGAAACAATTTTGTGTCGTTAGTCATATTAATAGTAGGGGTCTGCGGGTACCCGACTCGGACTCGAAAATCGGGTAATTTCGCACAACCCGAAGGGTCGGGCGGGTAGAAGAAATACCTGATTTTATTTCAAGCGGGTAATTCGGTAACCTATTATTAAAAACTTTAATGTTTTTAATGTTTAATTATACAATTTTCAGCTTTATAGGAAGATATTTTATTAATAAATTAAACGAAACTTAAATTGTGTGCTCAAAACCCCATATTTCAACTCCAATGACTGTCAACTAGTGACTAAATCAGTCAAATAAATGTTCTTCTGATCCTTATTTTTGGCTAAATCAATATTGTCGTCGTCTGCTTGCTGGCAGAACATCTGCATTACACGTACTAGGCCTATAGCATAATTAATTATTATGGCATATAAAACTCAACTGGACAGTCACTGCCAAGAATGTTGGTATGGGACAAGAATATCTTTTTATATTAGGCCTATTCCTGGTGTTGGAAAGTTATGTTTACACATTTTATATTCTATATTTATTGATTTTTTATGAGTCAGAATAAATTGTCAAATATGTTATAAAATGAATAAATACATTATAAAACGTTTATGATTTAGGCTACAGTATTAAGTCACTATTTTAACTTAGCAAGAAATGCATGACCTGTGTGTGAATAATTATGAAAATTAATAATACCTCTCTTGTCAGAGCAGACACTACAATAAGTATTATCACAACTGTGAGGCTGCATGGTTGACAAGCAAGACTAACTTTTGAAAGACTTATACTTCAGCTGAGCTGAGCGTTGGCGTTCGGATTCAGGGTCGAGCCCTGTCAGATTTGGGAGTTACAGTTTACAGTGTAGTTTTATCTGTTTGTGACAAATTAATTATGGGTTGGAGCTATAAAGTGTTATTAAAGAGATTTAAGTAAATGTGTCTGTTATTGATTAAAGAATATTTATTTCCTTCAAAACTAATGTAAATAAAAAGGTAAAGATGATTCCTCAATCATTTCACTGGTGTTTTCGTTTTTAACTAAGCCGGTACTTAGGCCTAGAAAGACACCACAATCAACATATTGTCCTTCATATTTTGTTGTGGTGTTTCCGGACCAATTGATTGACAAATAAATAAAAGGTTAAAATACAATTTTAACCAACTACCGTCTTCTCTCGAGTCTCGACACACGTCTGGCGCGCCTCCATATCCTGCCCGTGCACGCGTAGCAAAAGTTAAAAACTATGTTAATTAACGGTCGACCGGTTTTTATGTGTGTTTTGTGTTGTGAACATTTTACGCACCTCTTCAGGGAAGTTTAGTGTCAACAGTTCTTATACGGATCCGACGATGGCGCTCGCGCCGAAATGTACATAATCCACTAGGACAATACTTTGGACCACAAGGCGACAAGCAGGTATTTTAACCTTTTATTTATTTGTCAACATATTGTTCCCGAAAACAGTTTCACTAATTTAGGCCCAAAGGATCCTAGTTTTTCTATACCTAAACCCAAACCTGTAAGGGAATAACTACACTATTTGCGAAAAGTCTCTTATGTGCTTAGCCTATAATGCGGATAAATATAATAGAGGGTGGTTGACAGTCTTAAGATGCAACAATATCAAATTTAAGTAGGCCTAGGCCTAACCACAGAAAACATACTACAGTATGTTTTCTGATGTTTTCTGTGGCCTAACTTAACTAAAGACACTGAGGTTTTATTTTGCCATTAAGTAAACTAGGGTCTACTAATTTGCAGTAGGCTATGTCAAAATATTAAGTTGGTGTTTTATCTTGTATTGAAATGTCTTTATATTATTGATACTGGTAAATAAAATATCTCTAAGAGTAGGCATGAAACATTTGTTTAGTAAAATATAAATAAAAACCAGAAAAATACTTGAAAATTGAATTTTGGTCATTTTGAGCCCGAACCGAAAATTACCCGGACTCGAAGTGATCATTACAGTACCCGACCCGAACCCGCCCGAACCTAATATTTCACTACCCGCAGACCCCTAATTAATAGGAATGTTTTGGGCCATTAAGAATATGGACTGAAATGTCATACATTTTAAAATCATTCCAATAACCTGGAAAATTTAAAATTAATCGTTATAATAAATTATAAATACAGGAAAACCCTCAGCAAGTGTCAGTCTTTAAATTCCCAACTTTTTTATCTGTTACCAAGTATATCTTCCCCAAGTGTATATGAGTGAAAATTTAAAAACGTACGTTTTCATGTCCCTGGCCTTTTACTTCGTAGATACTGGATTTGTAGTTTATTATTATGTGTTTTAATATTTTTTGGGACGGGGGCAACATGTTACACACATTTATTTGGTTTTAAATAGGTTCTAGGTATTTTTTTCGTATTTTTAAAGTCTCAAAATTCACGACCATGACGTGTCCCTAGGGTACATTTTACAACTTTCAAGCTGTTTTTAGACTAATTATTCATGCCGAAATCGGCAGAAATATCTGACGGTTTTCAAGCTAGTACAGTCTGGCAGCCGAGTGGAGGAGGGTGGTGGGGAGCGGCTCATTCTCAAGGCCAAGTGATGCCATTTCAGTCGCCATGGAGCAGTGGACCAGTATACATCGTGTGTTTGCCGTTGAGGCGTTTTTTTTAAATGGCGATTCTGTTGTTGGTACGCAACATAAGTTTAGGAGGCATTTTAATGTGGCTCGTGGGGAACCTATCCCATCCCGAAACACCATCAAATTGTTAGTGGATACCTTTAGATCACAGGATCAACTGCAAAACGTAGGCCGTCCAAGGCCAGTGAGGACGCCTGAGAACGTGGAGCGAGTGCGACAAGCTGTGCTAACGTCGCTAACGAGCCCACATCGCCCGGCGCGTAGACAAGCTGCTGCTCTTGGCATGTCTGATCGCTATATTCGACGAATTTTGCACTCAGGCCTTCACTTTCACCCGACGATTGCTATTTTATATGGGTGAAAGTGAAGGTCTGAGTGCAAAATTCGTCGAATATAGCGATCAGACATGCCAAGAGCAGCATGTCTACGCGCCGGGCGATGCGGGCTCGTTAGCACAGCTTGTCGCACTCGCTCCACGTTCTCAGGCGTCCTCACTGGCCTTGGACGGCCTGTAGGCCTACGTTTTGCAGTTGATCCTGTGATCTAAAGGTATCCACCCACAATTTGATGGTGTTTCGGGATGGGATATGTTCCCCACGAGCCACATTAAAATGCCTCCGAAACTTATGTTGCGTACCAACAACAGAATCGCCAATTAAATAAAACGCCTCAACGGCTAACACGCGATGTATACTGGTCCACTGCTCAATGGCGACTGAAATGGCATCACTTGGCCTTGAGAATGAGCCGCTCCCCACCACCCCCCTCCACTCGGCTGCCGGACTGTACTCGCTTGAAAACCGTCAGATATTTCTGCCGCTCCCTGTATATAAAGCCATATTTTTATGTCATCAATGGTTATTAAACTTACATAAAAGGAGCATATTATAATTTTATTGTCATTGCAAACTGACTACCATGACAAAATAAGTCTGTCCCTCGATTTGGCGTCACGACCATTTGGGAAAAATTTTCAACCTTGGAGCACGACAGTGGCAAGCCTGGCGTCGATGGAGTCAGTTGATTTTAGAGACTAGTTCGGGGTGTACGTCAGGATTGTAGTGCCGGTCGTTTCGAGTTGAAAGGAGGAATTACAAGATTAATAAACGAAAGATTGTGTTTTTTGTAATTTTGGTGTGTCCATGACCGTACGTAGTAATTCGATGAAGTAGACATGGTGTTAATTTTTGTTTATAAGATATTTCAATTGCTAGATTAACCTAGAAGTCCACTTTGTAACCTCGAACATGAGGTGCAGGGCTACCACCAGAACAGAGCCAAATAACACGTAATTTCACGACCAAAGTTTCACAACCATCGCAGGTTTTTTCACGACCAATCCAGCCTTATGGATTATAGTGTGTTTGGTCGTGACAATAACTTTAATATAATTGTAAATTGAACAGTTTAGTTCAATTGAAACACATAGTTTTATTATAACTAACAGTATAATTGAAGGATTGTTTAGAAAGATTTAGATTATTCCAGACAATTCACGACCGTACCGCTTGTCCCTGACCATCACGTTTATGATTTCTATCATAAAAATTTCAAAAATTAAAATATCGTCATACTTCAATGTTTTATACACAAAAGAAGCACACCTCTATACAAATATAACGATTTTTCGGGTCTCAGGTAAGTTTTTTCGGAGTTATACAAACTTAAAAAGATTTTATTGGCTTTTTTTCTATTTTTTGAGTTTTTTTATTTTTTTCTAGAAAGACCAAATATACCAAAAGCTCAGTGACCTTTTTATTGTATAATGGTCATAAAAGTAAATTAGTTTATAGCAAAACATAGTTATAAAAATAATATTAACTATTTTTAATATTCATTTAAACGTCCGTTATGGTCGTGACAGGATTTTGTGTTTTCCACTATAGATGCTCTTAAAAAAAAAAACTACCAAAGATATTGCGTTACCATGGACATTTTATGAAACTTCAAATGTTAATGAAATAAAAAAAATAATAAAAGTTTTGAATAAAGGGGGAAAAAATTTTAAGCACACTTCTGACCGTATACATTACTATGAGATGCATGTAATTTTTCCAAAAAAGAACAGTGGGAGGCATAATGATCTTGATTTTGCACAGTAACATGGCCTCCTCTAATACAAGGCTGCGACGACACAAAAGTGGCAACACTGATGTCACTTCAAATTGAAACAGCTGTTGCACTAATTTACAATGTAGCCTATAGGCAATGGTTATGTTTACACTTTTGTTACCACGGCAATAGGCATGCTGTTGCGATGTTGCCACACACCAATGCTGCTGCCTTGTATAGAGTTTTTCTACTTCTAGTACTTCTAGTGTTTTGTTTGTGAATTATTAAAATTAGTACTGTACTACATTATTATTGTTTGTGAATTATTAAAATTAGTACTGTACTACATTATTATTGTTTGTGAATTATTAAAATTAGTACTGTACTACATTATTATTTTTTGTGAATTATTAAAATTAGTACTGTACTAGGGCCTACATTATTATTGTTTCCATGACATAATTTATGTTTGTCATTTTTCATCAAAATTGTTTAAACCATTGAGTCTTTTCGGTTCCAAAGGGGATTCCCAAAAAGGCTCCACTATGTAAGAGATATGCTATTATAAGATTTCATTCAAAAATATTGTTCAACAACTTTGAACTGTATCAGTACGTACTGTAAACAGAGAGGTTAGCCTTGCGGGAGTACACAGTGCCGAAGTCGTTGGATACAATACACTGGTAGAGAGCACTAGCGTCCAATGACAGGTTGGTGAGCAGTAACTGACTGATGTGTGTATGAGAGTCAGAGTCACTGACAGAGCGTAGGACAGGTTCGGCCATGTCTCGATTGTTGCGACGCCACTTGAACACCATCACTGAGTCTGAGGAAGACACAGCCTTGCAGCCGAGCTTCACTGAGCTTCCAGACAGAGCCACTTGAGACCTGGGCTCCTCCAGTATCACAGGTTTTGGGAAATCATCTGGTGCTACAACAACCATCACAAGGTGTTAAGAGTTGTAGTAATGGTGACATTTTAGGCCTTAACAATTCAATTGCATATAAATTGTCATCATTATTAGGTATAAATTGATTAAGGTAACAACCAAGTAACTACAACACAACCCAGTAAACCTCATAGCTTGATAATCTGATATGATTTCAAGTAAATAGTTGGCAGGGATTAAATTTTGAAAAATTAACTAAATACTTTAAAGCTCTTTAGATTTATATATACAATTTGAATGTCATTACATTACTGAGAGATGCGTTTTAGATTTAACTTTTGTTTTTTCTAGCAATAAAATTACGATGATTCACATTCACAATAGATGTGAAAAGTAGAGGTGAACGGATATAAAAAAAACAGGCCAAATTCCGTTTGGCTATCCAGACCCGACCCGAGCTCAAACTTGATATCCAACACTATCTGTTAAATACCAGACTTTTTGGGATAGACTATATATTTTGGCATTGAAGACTGGAGAACAATATCTTCATAATCATCATTAGTTTCACAGTATAAAATTCCAACATTACGTTTCTAACGATGTAACGACCACAAGTTATCATCCATGACAAATATTAAATTATTCATATGAGAGGCGCATCGTCGCTGTGAAAGATTAACCAAGCAATCAATTAAAATTAAATGTCCATAAATTAAATTTATCTCTCTCGAAATATCAACAAAATTAAACAACAAATAATATATGCTGTAATAACATTCTATATAAAGTACTTGTTGGTTGCTTAAATGCTTTTGTCCACCCGGTGGCTGGCTTTATCAGCAGAAGACAAATGTAAAACACTAAAAATTGAATAACTTGTGATTATTATATTGTTGGTTCGGTTCTCACACGAGAAAGTTTAAAGCTAAAAATGTGTGTTTTTATTGGCACACACCACATTTCCTCAAATCTTTGAGACAGATTATTGGCCTAAAGTGGCGATCTACGTTTCACTAAGTGCAGAAAACTATCACTGATGCATTAAGTCGGGCTAGGCCCCAACATGCGATTGGATTTTACCAGCGAGTTATAGCCTATATAACTCTGTTAAAGGGTTATATCACAAATTTGCTGAATATATAACTCTTATTCTACACTTATTTACCACCAAACACAAAAGTGTAAAAAGCCTATCATCATAACCTGTTGTCAGGTTATTATTTATTAATCCTACAGCCATTAGAATGGTGAGAACGAAGATGGGATTAGGAAATCAAACAACTAAACTTGGATATTAAAGTGTATACTTACAACATTGGAACTGGTGAGGTTGTAGAGAAGTAAGAGAGTGGTTGGCTAGGTGGCTAGGGTAGGCGCACCGCATCTGTGTGGCATGTAGGTGGTGTTGGCGCAGGTAGGTGGTCAGCCAGGCTAGGTGGCAGTCACACACCAAGGCAGATGAGTCTAGACGCAACTCTTGTAGTAGAGGAGAGTAGTTCAGACTAGCTTCATGGAGTGTCTTGATATGGTTGTTAGACAGGTCAAGGTACTCGAGGTTGTCCAATCCTACCAATGCCTGCTCACTCACAGACGTAATAGCGTTGTCCGCAAGATTCAACTTTGTCAGCACTTTCAGACCAACAAACGGCCCTAGCATGTCTTCTATTGTCCAGGAAATTTTATTACTGCTCAAGTTTCTATAAAAAAATAAGAAAATGTATATATTTTGAGCTAGCAAATGTGATCTGAATGATTCCAGTACGCTCTAAAAAGATAAAATATACCATTGACTCCTTTATGAAAATTCTGAAAGGACAGTCATTAAAAAACTTTTTTTTTAGACATTTTTTCTCTGAAGCTTCTTGTTACAGAAGTAGAAGAACTCTTATTACAGCGTGTTACACCTAAGAAAAAAGGCTTGTTGTGTACATTCTGCTTCCTGTAGCTCCAAAATGAGTAAGTTTAGAGTGAAAATGCAAATAATATACAAGTCTTAAAAATTGCATCTACATTCTAAAATTTTTTATTCTGTTTAAAAAATTGCTACTGTACTACTTCAAAAAAATTTTACTTCAAAAATGGCATCTAAATTAAAAATTGGAAAACTCAGATGATTTTTGCTTGAGTTATCGTTCTAGCGGACACACACACACAGACATATATATACAGGGTGTCACAAAAAAGTGTGATGGGCTATACAGGACCTAATTCTACATGCAAAAATAAGTCAAAAATGAAGAATAAATTTTTTGGTTTTCGGCTTAGTTTAGCCGTAATCCGCCATTTTGTTTTTTGGGGAAAATATTTATTATTTCAAAATCCCTTTGAGATATTTTTACGAAACTTGGCAAAATTGTTTACACTATAGTAAGTAACATTTATAAAAAAAATTATTATTTTAACTTTCCAAATTTAAAAATGGCGGCCGTTTGAATTTTTTAATGCCAAATTTCATGAAAACCGGTACCTAAATCAAAATTTTGTTAGACACAAAAGTTTTAGTATTTATTATGACAAATCCAACAAAACAAAATTGAATAAAGTCGGTTCATAAATAAAGAAGCTGTGTTTATTTTAGTAATTTAGACTGAAATTATTAATACTAAAATGTATTAAATGTAATGTAATAATTTATATAACGTGTTAAGTAATTTCAGTCTAAATTACTAAAATAAACACAGCTTCTTTATTTATGAACCGATTTTATTCATTTTTGTTTTGTTGGATTTGTCATAATAAATACTAAAACTTTTGTGTCTTACAAAATTTTGATTTAGGTACCGGTTTTCATGAAATTTGGCATTAAAAAATTCAAACGGCCGCCATTTTTAAATTTGGGAAGTTAAAATAATAATTTTTTTTATAAATGTTACATACTATAGTGTAAACAATTTTGCCAAGTTTCGTAAAAATATCTCAAAGGGATTTTGAAATAATAAATATTTTCCCCAAAAAACAAAATGGCGGATTACGGCTAAACTAAGCCGAAATCCAAAAAATTTTATTCTTCATTTTTGACTTATTTTTGCATGTAGAATTAGGTCCTGTATAGCCCATCACACTTTTTTGTGACACCCTGTATATCAAATCAAATCAGATTTATTTCCACATTAAGTACACAAAATATAAATGTTTCTAAAATTAAAATAGGTACACAGATCTAGAGAAGCATTATATAAATTGTTTAAGAAAAATTAAGGTAAAGTTAAATTTAAAAAGTTATTAATTGTATAAACTTAAGTACTAATTTGAATATATATATTTGCTTCGGCTAGAAATAATTAATTACTTGGAAATGAGTCTACATAGACCTCAGTGGTCTGTGCATAGACTCGAGTTGTTAGAAATTATGAGCTAAATTTTATTTGGAAAAAAAGAGTTTGCAAATAATAAAACAAACAAAAATATATATATATATGAATATACATTAACGGATTGTGTTTTAGCCTCTGTGCAGCAAAGCGGAAAAAGAAATCAGTCTGGGGTCTAGGTCTTACCACGAGACCTTCGGTAATAGCTTATTCCCTATGTGGAAAATTCACTAAAAGCAACATGAAACAGAAATAAAATATAAAGCACAGATATATGAAGTCTTGCAACTCTTAGTACTCTGTTTTGTCTATGCTAGGAGTTGAGAATAAAATAACTATAAACAAAATTTTTTTAATATTCTATACAGTAGAACATCGATTATCCACGGTAATGGGAGGGGGGGAGGGGGGGCACGGATAACTGAAACCACGATTATTCCAACATGACATAAAAAACCATAAAAAATGCATAAAACTGTATAAATGGACGTTAATGTGATAATTTGCATATTACATTATCAATACAATTAGAAGGCTATTGGGCAAAGATTAATAGAAATTCTAGTACCTACAGGCTACTGATACATGCTGTTTCAGGACAGAATATTGTCGATAAAAACATTAGTAGGCCTAGATAGCTTGCAGGGCTACAGATATACAAGGGCTAGGCCACGCGAGCTCAGAAAGTGATGCCAGCTGGTCCCCACCACCCCGCCGCTGTGACGTCACAGCAATACCTCGGGCTCCCGGCACCGTATATAATAAATTTTAAATTTATTATTAAATTACATTCTTTCCCAAAAATTAAAGTCGTCCTAACATCACACTACTGCAAATAAATAATTGGCAAAATAGCTAAATATACAGTGCATTCCAACACATTTAGTCTAAAGAAACATATTTTATAGAATTTTCTCGGACAATGAGGTTATGTTAGGTACCTAATTTTAGAGGCATATATTGAGCACGGTTGATCCGCCCCCAGTTACTCGAAGTTCTACTGTAATTAAAAAATTACCCCTTATATCAATGGATTTTTTATGAAAGTAACTTACTTAGCTTGAAATGGGCACATGACGTAATTTTCCATTTGGGTAGTAATACAGACATATAAGACAAATAAGATATACATTTTTTTACTCAAAGCATACTTTATTTTCAACTATTTTGTTTGTTGAAATACTTACAGCTGGATGAGAGAAGGTGTATGGTTGAAAGCCCCTTCCGCGATATAAGATATTTGGTTATGGTTCAAATTGAGAGTTTGCAGTTTTGACAGGTACTGGAGAGTGTTATTTTCAATAGATCTCAGTAAATTGTTGGAGATGTCCCTGAAATGAAAAAGTTGGATAACATTTGCAAGCTGTTTTGATTATTTACAAGAAATGAAATATTTATTCATCAAAACAAGTTAACATAAATGAGATGTTATACACAGGCCCGTTTTTTACCCTGTCACCGCCCTAGGCACATCTAATAGTAGCGCCCCTTTGCAATATATATATATATATATAACAGGGTGTCCACCGACCGGGAAATCCGGGAATCATGCGGGGGATTTTTGAACCGTGAATTTTGTATTTATACCTGGAGTTTTCAATTTACCGTGATCGCGCATGACAAAAGTGGCGTTTCCGTGATCGCGGGAGACGATAATATGTCTACACACGGCCGCGAGGGATGATCAGAATTTTCCGCGATTGCAGAAGACGATGATGGTATCTACAGAGCCGCAACGGATAATTAGAGTATTGCCGTGATCACAGAAGACGATGATAATGTCCACACGACCGCGGGAAACAGCAAGAATTTTGCCGCGATCGTAGAAGACGATGATGATCTCCACACGACTGGAGGACATTATTAACATTTTCCCGCAATCGTGGGAGACGATTACGATGTCTTCATAACTGCGGGAAACGATTACGATGTCTACAGAACCGCGGAATACAATAATGATTTCTACGCGGCCACGAGGGATGATCACAATAATGCCGCGATCGCTCAAGACGATGATAATGTCCACATGACCGCGGGAAAAGATCAGAATTTTGCCTCATTAGCCGAAGACGATTATCTCCATATGTCCGTGGGAGATGATTACCATTCTGCCGAAATCGCGGGAGGCGATCACTATGTCCAAACGACCAACGGGGACGATATAATGATGTCTTCAGGGCCGCGAGGGGTGATCAGAATTTTATCGCAATCGCGCAAGACGATGATTATGGCCACACGATCGCGGGAAAAGGTCACAATGTTGCCTAATTTGCGTAAGAGGATGATGACCTCCACAAGACTGAGGGAGATGATTACCGTTTTTCTACAATCGCGGGAGGTGATAACTATGTCCACACGACCGTGGGGCACGATATGATGTCTTCACGACCGCGAGGGGTGGTCAGAATTAGACCGCGATCGCGCAAGACGAGGATAATGTCCTCACGACCGCGGGAAAGTATCAGAATTTCGCCTCATTTACATACATTGTTAGACGATGATAATCTCCTCACGACCGCTGGATATGCTTATATTTTGCCTTGATTATGGAAGACGATAATTTTATGTCCAAACGACTTGACTGCAGAAAATAGTAAGAATCTTGCCGCAAACGCGGGAGACGATTACGATGCCTACACGGCCGCGAGGGGTTATCAGAAGTTTACCGCAATAGCATGCACATACTACCACGATTTTTTTTTTATTTCAAAATTTTTGGCGCCCCCAAAAAAAGCCAATTGCCTCGCGCCCTAGGCACGTGCCTACCGTGCCTATTCGGTAAATCGGCCCTGGTTATACATAAACATGTGGTATGTCAAGTCAATACATAATACCATTGAGTATACACGTATAAGAGGGGTCAGATAATGCTAATAGTTGTTACCGATTTTGGCAACTTAGTTTGAGCCGCTGACGCTTGGGTCGCGGTAGTCTTTTGGTAGTGGAGTGCGCCTCTGAGGACCTTTTAATCATTTAGTAATAAAAATGTATTATAAAACAACGAAGCTACGTGAACAAACAAACAAATTTCATCAACGAAAATGAAATTTTACAACATACAATGAAATAATAAAAAACAACCAAACTGTCTTACCGACAAGCCCGAGGTGGAGTAGTTTGGGCTGCTGACGCTACTCTGTAACAGTGCTTTTCAGGTAACGATAACCTCCATCGAGTGGCTACTCTAGTACGTGTATACTTAATGACAATACTAAATACTTACCTATGTAATGTAAGCTTTTCAAATTTGGATTTTCTTGGGACTGGTATATAATTTTATAATTGATGGGGAAATAAGAGTATAGCAAATAAGACAATAGGTAAGATTTCAGTTATTTACATAGATGTAAAAATCAAGTATTTAAGTTGCTAGAATGTTCATTCATTGTATTTATTCCTCAACAGCATGAATTAGATGCAATTTATCAAATCAAGTTCGTAGAAGAGTATGTTAGTTCTAGTGACATCTTCAGGGAAATATATTTCTTATCATCAAGGGATTTTCTCGGGATGTGATTTGTTCCAACCATCAGCAATTTTGTAGCGTCGCATGTGACAATATGTTATGCAGGTTTGTTTACTAAACATCTTTGTAAATGCATCCATAAGCAGCAAGAGAATTACATATACAATGCAATGGTAAAGAGGGAAGATAATATAAATGAAATTAAACGCACACTAAAAGATTTTTCGATTTCATTTCCTTTTTTTTGATAGAAGGCTGGTTAAGCAAAAAAATTAGCAAATCAATTAAATTTGAATTCCATAACGTCAGTAGGGGAATTTCTTTTATTACTTTTTTTCATCTTCACGGTATTTAGAAATTAATTATTGTTTTTATTTTATGTCAGCCCGGTGACTAAATGTATATTTTCTAATGATATTGAATTGACTCTATTCAACACATGTACTCTGTGTTTTATTGAATAAAGAATTATTTGATTGATTAGCTATTAACACGTTCGCAGCGGCACGTCAAATGGCGGGCGTATCCCAGGTGCGGCGCAGCCCTCAGCATCGAACAAACCCGATTGCCGCGTGTTATTGGCTTTCCAATTTCGGTTTGACAAATAGCAAATAACGTGAGGGGATGTCCTGCTTTACAACGAGAGTCGACGTAGTTCGCTAAACACCAACAGATAGCAGCACTGCTTGTAACGTAGCCGGTCCCATTGGAATTGTATTGCCAAATGGAGGGAAAAAGACAGGACAAAAGTAGAATTTTGAGATTGCCAGACGGGAATTTTACGGGGAAATTTACTACCAACCTACACCACAACAAAATACAGTATACTATTGAGCAGTGCTGTGCGAGGTTTCAAGTTTCTAGCTCTAATCCTGGCTTAAAAATAAATCATTTCGTACTGCATTGCAGCTTGGGAGCGATCGCACCCACCAGGATGGCATTAGGGTTCCGTATGGGAGCGATCGCTCCCATGCCGCCGCGAACGTGTTAATTCCATCCATGAATAACATTGGCTTCTCTTGAGATTCCAAATAAGCGTTGAAATTATTTTCAGTTTTTTATTTAATTTAATTTATAAATGAAGCAATACAACATAAAAAAGCTGGTTGAAATACAATAGTTGGCACTAAATTAAGACCAAGATGGCGGACAACCAACACATTCTGTGAAAGTGCTCCACCAGTTTAGTGCAGTTTAAGTGGGTTAAACCAACAAAAGATCCATTAAATGTGCTACAAAACCTCTAAAACTTATGTAAGTTAAACTCACACATTTTTAACATATGAAACTCAATGAAACTAAGAAAAATCAATACTAAAGCAACTCACCTTGTGATGACCTACCAATTTCTAATGGAATTATAAAGGAATCATTTATAAGAATAAGAATACCAAGCATTTTCAAATCACTCTTTTAAAGGAAAAGAAATATTACAAATTTCATTTTTAGCACTAAAATTCAAGATAAACCATCTCATTTGTAAATTCAATAAACTGCCAGTCAGGGAATACTAGGCTTCAACATAATTCCAACTCATCACTATACGTCACAGCCAAACTAGGTGACACAGACTGAGGCAATAACACTGCTGACGACACAATCTGACGACATAGCTGGTAGACATCAACACTGCTGACTCTGTAACTAACGTCATAGCTAGCAGACAAACAGACATAGCACACTGCTGATCAACAACAGTTGTGTGTTCAGACAACTAGCCTCTCCAACTGAGGTAGAATTATGTATAAAGCAGGTGATTTAGTTTTTGCAAAGATAAAAGGCTACTGTTTCTGGCCTGCAGAAATAAAGGAGACTGTTCCAAAGAAAAATGATAGACAACCACAGTATACTGTTTCTTTTTTTGGAGATAATAAAACAGCTAAACTAAAGGAAAGTGATGTATGTCTTTACTCAGAAAACAAAGCAATATATGGTAAACCTAAACAAGACAATTTCAAAAATAAATATTTTAATGCAGCTTTAAAAGAAGCAGAAATCGCTTTTGCAAGGAAATCAAGCAAAACTGATGATAAGCATTGCTCTGAAAGTCAAACCTCAGACGACACCTTGCTTAGCTGCATCACTGAAAGTCATACCTCAATTAACAAGCCCGAACCTATGTTAAACAATTTAAATCTTACCACGGACGATTTTCAAAACATTGTACAGAATTTTGATACAGAAGAGAATGATTTGGAAAGTTCTCTTAACCTAGCAGCGGAGGTTGGAAATGCTCTCCTTGAAGAAAACAATAAACTTAGAGAGGATGTACACAAGCTGAGTCTCGAAAATGCCAAACTGTCTTTTCAAGTAACAAAAATAAAAAATGGAAATGAAGCAGCAGCTTGGGAAGAAAAAATAGACACACTATTAGACCAAAATGAAAGATTGTTAATGAAAAACAACTCGTTAGTGGAAACCATCAATAATCTTGAAAAACAGCTCGACAATGAGAAGATGCTTCGCAGAGACTTAGAACACACCTTTGAAGAATTGGACAAGGAAAAAGAAGACACATTAAAAAAATATGAACAAGAAACTCAACAACTTAAACAGAACATAAAAGATCTGACACAAAAACACAATGAAGTTAAGCTGGATGAAAAAGAGGAAAATCTGGTTAGTACAAAGCCTGCTGTAGCCCAGACCCATCAATGTATAGCTGGTCACAGTCCTTTCCTCTTAGCTGAACTTGCTCAAATTAAAATGAAACAAAATCAAATGGAACACGTCATTAACACCCTGAAAATGCAGATGAACAAAGAGATTTCTAACACCATTTCTCCGACAACTCATACAAATCCTTCCATTCCAACACCAAGTTCATTAAAAAATAAAAGGGCTCAAAGAAATCATAACAGAACTAACATATTCAGCGTATCCCTGCAAAATGCTAAATACCTAGAACAAACAAATCACAAACTTGCTACTGACTGCCGAGAAATAACCAGCAAAACCTTCAAAAACACAACGTGGAGAGCCAGACAAACTCCAACGAAAAAACTGCAAACTGAAACAACAACCGGGAGAGTCAGACAAACTCCTACTAAAAAACTGCCAACCGAGACTACAACAGGGAGAGTCAGACAAACTCCTACTAAAAAACTGCCAACCGAGACTACAACAGGGAGAGTCAGACAAACTCCTACTAAAAAACTGTCATCTGAGACCTCAACGGAACAAGTATCAACAGGGGGAACCAGCCAAACCCCGCCACAAAAACTGTCACAAGTGTCACAAACAGTAAAAGCTCAAGAAAGCCTGAAAGAGACTAAAAATAAAAATAAACTTCCACCCCTAAATGCTAAGCCAAAGAGCAAAGACGAGGATTACAATGATTTCTTTGTAAAAAATATAGGATTTTATTCAGAACATATGAAGAAGCATTATGGATATTTAGTAAAAAGGGAGGCTGCATCGCTACAGGATAATAACTTTGTTTTTTCCTCACCTTCTCAGATTATTCCAACGCAGCCTGATTTTACTTTAAGAAAACTGCAAAAATCAGCAGAGACAAGAGAAACGCAACCTGACTGTTTTTTAGACAATCGAGTCAGGATGTAAACTCCAAACTCATCCTGCTGCACCAAAATACACAGGAAGTCTCAAATAAAATAAATAGACTACAGCACCTTTTAGAAGAAACCAAACCTGACATAGTAATTCTGACAGAACATGGACTAAAACCTGAGACAATAAGTAGCACCGTCATAGCTACTGGATTCTGCCTCAAGGCTCACTATAGTAGAATAGAACACAGAAAAGGAGGTGTTTGCATTCTTGTAAAAGAAAGCCTTGATAGCAGCACAGTAGCCATAGATGTTACAGTTTCCAAGTACTGTAAAGAACTGTTATTTGAAGCAGCTCTTATAAAAATAAAATTCAAGAACTCAAATCTGTTTGTACTGGGAACCTACAGACCCCCAAACGGAGACCTTGAGGAATCATTAAACACCTTTACAGAACTAATTGAGGAAACAAAAATTGAAAATTCCCCTCTTATCATCATGGGAGATATTAACGTTGATTTGTGTAACCCAAACAGGAAACACATTATCTTAAATGAAACTCTTGCTATGCACAACATCCAGAGACTACAGCTTCCACCTACGAGAATAACAAATCTAACACAAACCTCCATTGACTGGATATGTACAAATATGGACACAAACCAACTGACTCCAGAAATCATCAATGCAGGACTTTCGGATCATACTGCTCAACTCTGTACTGTAAACTTCAACTCACACATCAACTCAAGTTATCCTGCCCAAATTGGACGCTGTCTAAAAAATAAAAACCTGCAAGACCTCAAGTATCTTCTCAGTCAAGAAAACTGGCTTAGTGTTACCTCAATAAACAATGCCGAAGAAGCTTTTAAAACTTTTAGTAACATAGTGAGAGTAGCTATGGATGCAGCCTGCCCCCAAAAGAAGATAAAAATACAAAGAAAACATAAACTAAAATTCTCCATGGACCCAGAAGCAGTGAGACTTAAAGCCGAATTTCTTAAAGCTCTAAGAAAGTTTGAGGTGACGGGAAATCCAGATGACAGAAGGGTTTCTATTGAAAATAAAAAGAACTATGACCTGTACTTGAAAATGATGCGGAAAAAGGTTAACTCTGACCAGTTGATGAAAGCTGAAAATAAATCTAAAGCTATCTGGGAAACAATAAACACAGTGTGGTCCAAAAAGGAAACATCCCTAAATGAAATAACCCTTCAAGTAGATGGCCAACTCATAAGTAATGTGACCCATGTTGCAGAGCATTTGAATACATTTTTTACACAAGTAGGAGAAAAAACAGTAGAGAAACAAAAACACCTAAAGACCACAGCTCAAACTCCTGACGTAACTCAAACAGGTCCACTGTTTTCCTCCTTTCAAAGCACAGACGAGAAGGAAGTTAAAATGATTATAAACAAACTTAAAGCAAAAAACTCGTCTGGAATTGATGAAATCTCGTCAAAAATACTTAAGCATTGCTGCAATGAACTAGCACTACCATTGGCTGATTTGATAAATAAGTCCCTAAAACAAGGCATCTTTCCTTCACTACTTAAAATAACTAAAGTATACCCGAAATTTAAAAAAGGTAGCACATTAGAAGCAAGCAACTACAGACCAATTTCCCTCGTTTCCACCTTCTCCAAAATATACGAAAAAGTTGTTTTAAAAAGACTTTTAGACCACTGCACAAATCACAACCTACTAAACAACCTTCAACATGGATTTACAAAAGGGAAATCCACAACAACAGCAATAATTCAGATGGTTGAGTCCCTGATTGACAGCCTAGATGAAGGAAATCTAACAACAGGAATCTTTCTTGATTTCAGTAAGGCATTTGACTGCCTTGACCACCAGCTAATCATTAAAAAGCTGGATTCCCTGGGGGTATCAGGGATAGTAAGAGAATGGTTTCAAAGCTACCTTACAGACAGGAGTCAGTTTGTAGAACTAAGGCACAGAGATAACAGCCTAATAAGAAAAACAAGATCAAATTTTCAACCAATAAATCGAGGAGTTCCCCAAGGTTCAGTTATGGGTCCGGTACTGTTTATTCTTTTTACCAACGATTTGCCGCAACAAATAGGAGACGCCTGCCTTACTCTTATGTATGCTGATGACACAACCTTAGTGTTTAATGAACCACTAGCTGAAAATCTAGAAGTAAAATCCTATGTGTCACTCAGTATGGCCTACCAATACTGCTATAACAATGATCTCGCAGTAAACACGTCTAAAACAACTCAAATAGCTTTTGGCCGTAAATCTCAAGAAGTGCCACGACTCCCAGATGTAGAAGTGGAAGATGAAGCTAAGTTTTTGGGCATCACACTCGACAAGAATTTAACCTGGACCCCTCATGTGGACAATATATGTAAAAAATTAAGTTCAACCATCTATGCTCTTAAACATATAAAAAATGCAACAGATGACATGACAACAAAAGTAGCATACTTTGCACTTTTCGAGTCGCATATGAGATATGGACTTGTAGCATGGGGTGGAACCTCTGCCACTAACATGCAAAGAGTTCTCAGAAAACAAAAAAAGGCAGTCAGAATAACTGCAGGACTCCACAGACTCGACAGCTGCAGGGAAGCATTCAGGTCACTCAAAGTACTTACCCTTGTAGCACTCTACATCCAGGAAGTTGTGTTATTTGCAGTAAGAAATAACCCTACAAGGCGTGGCGAAATGCACCAACACAACCTGAGAAACACCATGCAGTACAACCTTCCACAACATCGCACGGCACAGTTTGAAAAGAAACCTTCATACGCAGGAATGAAAATCTACAACAGGCTACCTCCAGATCTAAGAAGCAAGTCAGAAGATGACCTCAAACCAGCTTTGCATCAATGGCTCATTAATCGACCTTTCTATTCCTTAGAAGAATACCATCAACAGGTCTTTGACTAAACAACACCTCAACCAAACATTTAGAAAAAATTGTAAATTGACGCTACTACTATTTCTTAATGAATGTGTAAATAAAGATTATTTGTCTATTGTCTATTGTCTACCACTCTTTAGAAGTTTGTTTATAACTATTCAGTTGGTTTACAGTATTTGTAGGCAAAACTGTAAATGAGCACAAAACTAATACATTATAACAAACTTGGATTCCAAACATCAAAGATAATCAATAACATTTGGCGATTTTTAATGCCTTGTGGACTTACAGTTCTTGAAGTTGGGAACAAAACTCCCAAACAGAGTCAATGGACTGTATTTTGTTGGAACTGAGGGAAAGGAGTTGCAGTGAGTTGAGCCCGAACAACCATCCTTTAGTAACCTCACTTATGCTGTTGCTATCCAGGTACCTGAAAATGTCATTGATATTAGTGATCCTGCTCCTGCATGTAAAGAGGGGAAAGGTTTGATAAGGAGTGGTGGGAGATTTGTTTAAAACAAGTTTACAGCCAACTACCTCTTAATTGGAAGGCCCAATCCCTTTAACTCACTCACTTGTACTGTTACGACCATCTAACCACATAAACATGTCATAACCAGTTCATCTTGCGGTGTTTGAATATTTGCATATTTTTTGCTGTATTTTTGAAATATTTACTGTTAAGTTAAGTAACTTCTTAACACGTTGAGTGCGGCCTACGTTATTTAAAGTAGTGCAGTACTGGCGCACACGGCGGACTACGTTAAACTATGTAGCACACCTAACTCTAAAGTATTGATCTAGTGTGAGCTCAGCCTGGCAAGGAAAACGTTGTTTCACTTGCGGCTTGCTGCGCCAGTTTTATACTTCCGTTCCAAAAACAGATTTCCCACCATTTGTCTTCAGGTGTTTTCACGGTTATCACGGTCTGCTTTTATAAATTTCACGGTCTCCAAACAATGTTAGTTATAATGACTATGAAATGTTTTCTCTAACTAGGTTGTACACAAGTAAGGTTTTGTAGCCGATTAATACGACACCATTATTAAATTTAACATTGCTTGGAACTATACATGCAGGAAAGCACAATACCGTAAAATCCTCAAGGCCCATTCCATGAATAGAACGTAATAATCGGCCAGTCAGCGCAGAGCGAAGAAAGATACAAGAGATAGAGGTAGAGAAATAAAGACAGAGACGTGGTGTTGGGTAGGGGAGAATGAGAGGACAACAAATTTGGGGTTGAGGGGACAGAAAGGAAGGGGGGAGAGTGCGCAAGGGGGAGGAGAGAGAGAGAGAGAGAGAGAGAGAGATGGGGGGGGGGGGGAGAGAGAGTGAGAGAGACTCACTCACTGCTGGAAAACAACCATAAGGAAGAATATTTAGAACAACAAGTTAACAGAATCTTTTTCATCATGCCTACATTAATGAACGACTTTATATAAGTATTCGTTACAACAGATAGCTACACAATAAAACAAAATATACTTACAAAAAGTAAGTAAGTATTGTAAGTACAGCATTCTCGAATATTTGAGTCCCGAGTCCAAAAATAATTAAAAATGGGCTTTTTATAAGGTGATTAAATAAGCAAGAATGGAGTAGGAAGAATTTAAAAATAAATATTACACTAACCATAAATGACTACTCTTTGCAATGAAAAGTAACATAATTACTTTTGACGCACGGTAAAATGACGAGTGTAGGGGTCCCGGCCACTGGTCGTAAATTCAGGGGCCATATTTATATTATCTAACCTAACCCTAACCAAACTTTCTATATACGGATTAGGGCCAGAGGTGACCGGTTCTCCGTTTCCCAAAAATAACAGACGACCAATCGGTTTCATCTTTTAACCTAAATCGAACGGTCGGTCGGTATACTTTATTTGTACGGTAAATATTCACTGTTGGAATTTTTATGTTTGCTCATAAATTAGTCACACTAGCTGTAGGCCTATATGGAATGGTCCAACTCATTATAGCTCAATGTTTAGGCCTACTTGTACATTTTGGTCCCTTTAGATTTAAATTGGACTGCAACCTTTATACCATCTAAGAAAATACCACCACCTGACCAAGCAAATTATAATAATAGTAATATCCACTCTTTCATGTAAAACTAAATGTTGTCCTCATGAAAAGACTGATTTATATAGATAATATAGATGATTAATATAGACTATGCTCAAGTATAGATCAGGCATCAATATTTAATTTTTTTAATAAATATTTTTTTAGTATAGGATAATACTTTATTCTGAAATGACGACCATATGTAGGCAAATAGCTAATAATATATAATAATAATATATATATATAATAATATATATGTAGGTTATAATATATAATAATATACGGTATATAAATTATATAAAAAATAATTTTATTTTTTATTTTATTCAGTGATAAAGATTAATTTGGTCTATTAATGTATGCATAAAAATTAATAAAACATTGGGGTTAATTTTATTTTAACTCTATCATAACGTAGCTACAAAGAAACATATATTAAACATTAAACATATTTTATTACAGTGCTCAGAACTTTGAAGCATATATTATGGGCTACTTTTCTAAAGACCGTTGTATTTAACTCTTAAACAGCAGTTGATATGACGCTTTTTAGAATATTTATTGTACAAAAAATTATTTCTTTTATTAGCCTAAAAATATATCATATTGTTTTAAAGATCTTGATTTCCTCTTTAAAATTGTGTTTGGTTTGTGTGGTCTTCATTAAAACTAAAAAGTAAATTATTTTTTAATTAATAAGAAAATGCCAAATAGGCTATATATGTGCATATATGCACTTATAGGCTTCAGTGTGATAATGAGCTATTGGCCTTTTGATAAAACTGTCAAAGGCCCATTTCCAATTAAGTGTTTGGAAACAAAATAAATAGTATATTTCATTACTAGGACCGAAAGCTCGGCATTTTCCGACGCGCGCTCAAGTTTCATGTGTGAGGCAAAGCCGAACACAGGAAAACCAAATTTCACGTGGGAGGCAAAGCCGAGCAGGTGAGAGTTATTTTCACGTACGAGGCGAAGCCGAGGACGGGAATAATGGAGCAAGTGTCGGAAAAAAGCTTTTGGTACGAGTTATGAACGATACTTTTCATCACGACGCAAAAATACATTCAGAATAACCTATCGCAGTAGGATTAAAATAGTTTTAGACCACTTTTTATCATTGAAAATAACACTTCACAACTTACGTGGACATGGTTTCATAATTGTAGATTATTTAGATAAATAATGTATTAATAAATACTTCGTAACGTTAGTTAACTTAACATTTTGTGATTTGTACCAGTGTCTAAGCTTTCTGTATTCCTCTTCTTATCCTTCCTGTGATTTATAAGGTGAAATATGATAAGTTAAGCTGTTTTCATCAAATCTTCAGTAATGTTAGACATACTTTGAGCAATTCCAAACATGCATTATGTTAAAAACACAACAAAACAAGCCGTTTCTGTAGATTTAGATTGAGCAACAATAAAAACAGCTGTTTCAAATCATTAAATTAAACCGTAACAAAACACTAGCGCGCGTAGTGAATAAATGGAGAACTAATTGAGAGCGAGGGAAAGTAAATTTAGAGCGAGGGAAAATCAGCTGATCGATTTTCCCTCGCCCTAAATTAGAGCTTGGGAAACAGCTACTTTCATTGATGTAAACTGTTATCGAAAATAGTTACTTTCGTAACGGAGTGATGAAAACATTTTTCCATGCAGAATTTATATGCTTTTCTTATTATACTTGAGATTTAGTTATTATTTTAATTAAAACTTTGTCATGGTTAATCTTAGAATAAGTAATGTCTAATGTTCTTACAAGGTGGTGAGGGTATCTAATCCGAAAAATGCCCCGTCTTCAAGTGTCTGTATTGAGCTGAATTTCATTTTGAGAGTCGTGAGAGCCTTGAGTCCATTGAATGAAAGACCTTCAACTTTGAAAAAACGATTCCTGCTTAAGTCCCTGGAACAAAAGTAAAACTTAAACTAAATAGTTACACAATGTTGTTACCCTATGTGATCAAAGATATTCTGAGAATAACAATAAAATAACAATCCGGAATAATAATATAAAGAAGAAAGTTTAGAACAACATAACCAACATAATTATGTGATTCCAATTAATTTAGGTATACAAGTTTGATCCACTTTAAATAGTATTTAACTACAATTTGAATGTCAATACAATAGACAATAGACAAATAATCTTTATTTACACATTCATTAAGAATAGTAGTAGCGTCAAATGCGTACAATTTTAACATCAACTGAAAAGGAATAAAGTAGTTCTTAAGTTAATTCGTACCAATACATTTTCCAAAACTAATAGACCCTCGGAAAGCCTCGGTCATACTAGGCTGTTTTTCAGCCACTACTAACTAGCCGCTGGTAAATATCACCAGCAGGCAGCAGATCTGTAGGGTTCACATTGTGACCAATAGCCGCCGGTAAATAGCCGCTAGTTTGTAGACGTCACCTGTTCCAGCACCACTTTTCTTTGACTTCTTTACGTTGAAAACTTTTGAAGACTTTTTTTCTCTTTCATAAGACCAAAGCTGATTTTAGTCTTTGTTCTTTAAGTCTTTGACTTTGATATGACTGTTTGATATGATGAATAAGCTGTGTCTTTGGTATTCCTGTCAATGTAGTTGGCAGATGAAGCATCCCTCAGGCAAGGATAATTTTGAAATAAATTTAGACATGTTACAATGTCTTTTCTCGACAACTTGTTGGTGTCAAACATGGTCAATATTCACAAAAGGAAGTATAAAATACATTACAACTAAACTAACATTGCATAAACAAACAAAAATCTAGACTCATGTTACAGTAGACTCCCTATTATCCGGACACCTTTTAACGGACATTGTTTTAACCAGACTAGATTCGGTAGAAGTGACATCTCTTTATCCGGACAATCTTTATCAGCACATCGATTTAACCGGACTATATTGGAAGGAAGTGGGCGATACTGAAACGACTGTTCTCGTGGGAAAGATTTGAGATGTCTAAAATCACTGTTCTCCTAAATTTAAGTCAAATACTGTATACAGCATAGTATGCATTTAAACGGTCTGTTTTAACGAAGTTTTGGGGACGTCGGTTTAACCGGAAAAACCATTATCCGGACTGGCCTCGGTCCCGAGGAGTCCGGATAAGATGGAATCTACTGTAATTCACTAGCCGCTTGTGAGCTACGAGGGGTTCACATTGGCTAGCTGCCATCAGCGAGGTCACGCGACTGCCAGCGGAGGATAGGCAGTGCTAAAAAGTTATGCCTCGGTCACACTAGGCTGTTTAGCAGTCGCTACTAACTAGCCGCTGGTAAATATCGCCAGCAGCCAGCAGATCTGTAGGGTTCACATTATAACCACTAGCCGCCAGTAAATAGCCGCTAATTTGTAGACGTCAACCTCTTTTGCACCACTGATCTCTGACTTATTTACGTTGCAAACTTCATTTCCATATGAATCACGGTCACTTAGACTTTTTTATCTTTCATAAGACCAGACCTGATTTTATTCTTCTTTCTTCGAGTCTTTGACTTTAATATGACTCATTATAAGCTACGTCTTTGGTATTCCTTTCAATATCGTTGGCAGACGAAGCATCCCTCAGGCAAGGATAATTTTGGAAAAAGATCTAGAAACGTTACAATGTCTTTTCCCGACCACTTGTTGGAGTCAACCATGTTCAATATTCCCAAAAAGAAGTATAAAATACATTACAACTAAACTAACATTGTATAAAAAAACAACAATTATAGACTGATGCTAATTCACCAGCCGCATGTGAGCTACTCACATTAGCTATTCACATTAGCTGGCTGCCACCAGCAAAGAGGTAACGTGACTGCCAGCGGAGGGTAGGCAGCGCTAAAAAGTTAAACATGTTCGACTTTTGATTTTGACTAGTAAACACCAGCTTACTGGCATTTACCAGCCACTAGTTCTGGATTAGACTAGGCTGCTTGCTGGCAATATTACCAGCGGCTGCTAAACAGCCTAGTGTGACCGAGGCTTAAGAAAAAAATGAAAAACTTGTAGATCAACAAAATCGTTGTGATGTTAAATAGTTGTTGACAAACATGTGTCTGGATAAATAAAAATGACAGCAAATACATGGTTATCATTTGTATTATCAAAATATCAAAAATAGACTTGACATAAAACTATTCAACAAATGCCATATGGTTGAGAATGAGTATCTGCAAACACTGTTATCGTTATGGAACATCTCGTCATTATATAGAATTTTTATTATTAAAAAAAGTAACTTACAATGCTTTTAAAGCTGTTAGGTTTTTGAAGACTTCTTTGTTCAGATTTCGGAGGTTATTACGAGCCAAATTCAAGTCTGTTAGTTTTGAAAGGGGATCCAAGCTCCCTTTCTCCATCAAGCTAATCTTATTGTTGTTTAAATTTCTGAAACAAAGATTAAATTATGACATCTACTCGTAAAATAATTCAGTTTTTAAAATCTCTGTTGTACAACTAAATCTACAGTTTTACTGGACCAATTTTATTAATTATTGGGTCGTTGGAAAGCTTATGTTTGTTAGGATCTATTGTGAAGAATAAAAAAAACATGTTTTCTATAAGAGATACATTGAAAACAGGTTTTTACACATTTTATATTTGTGGCCAAGTTTAGGCTGCATTTATTATTTTCAAGAAATGCATAGTAATAATTTGTAGGGAATTTTTATTCTCTTTCAGCATATAATCTCCCACTTCGGTTGATTTCCTCACCATTTAAAAGTTATTTGCAAAAAGCTATGGAACTTACAAATTTATCGTGATGAGAAAATACTGAATGAGAGATATTTTTGTAAAAATTTGGTAAAACTAAATCTACAGTTCTACTGATCTGATTCTGTTATTTAATGTGTCAATGGAAAGCTTCATCCGTGGTATGCATTATCTGATCATATGGAACATAGATTTTACCTACGACCCTTTTTTGAACTAGCCGTTTCAGTTCAGTTCTTAGAATTGAAAAGATTCACTTGAAAGCATTGTTTACTTACTTAACACAACAGCAATGTTTTTTTTTTTCTTACACACAACAGGGCAAGGAGTTTAAAGGATTGAGTGAAAAAATATTGTAATGCTTTAAACTCCAACTAAATAGCTGTTCAGACCAATTTAATTATTAATGAGTGTTGTCTTGAAATCCAAGGATAAGGTTAAATTGTTTGATTACTGCTTTAATTTAAGTTTAAGTTAATATAAGTTGAATAAATAAAAGCTCAAGTTTGTATCAACTTTCTTCCTTTCAGTATAAGTGTACAATCAAAATTATTTCCATGGTAACGAAAATAAAAAATATAAAACTCAGCTGTTTTAAAGATTGCTTAGCAGAAAGTGGTGCAAAATTAGTGTTTGGTTCAATGATTCGTTGTATCACTGTCAGGGTCAATAGAGGTTATAAACGAAAACTAGGGGTCTGCGGTGCACCGAAAAAGTCGGTACGGTACGGTACAAGCTTAATTACCGTCATCGGTTCGGTACAGCATTTTACACGGTACGAATTCAGTTCTGTACAGCCTATTATAATAATAAATTACTTTCAGTTTACTATGCAATTAAAAACCCATTAGCAGTCCCAAATCCATTAACACTTTATCACGATAATAATTGTTGTATTCAAGTACTTCCAAGAACTGTTGAGTTTTATCACTTTTATTTCTTTACGACTTTTTCCAGTTCTATGTTATCACTAAAATAATAGTTTTATGATGACTGTTAAATGTTATCTCTAACTCAGTCAGTATTTTCGTGAATTTGCCGCTGGCCATTGCCTACTGCCATAAAACTGTTTATGGCTACATATTAATCTTGTAACTAATCTACAATCTTATTTTATAAGTTTAAATATTTGTTATAGATATTTTTATCTTTCTATTGACGAAACCACAAGCATAGTTGTTGTTGTTTGCATTTTTTTTTTTCGTTATGCAAGCCTACTCGGTCTCAAATTATGTCATTGCATGTTCTATATCTTGTCTTATATTGTTAGATGTGGCTGTTTAAGGCTTAAATGTTTTTTTAGTTTCCTGTATTTTTTATTGTGTTGAAGGTACTTTATGCAATCTAAATCTTATGAACTAGATAGTGATTTTGCTACCCTCGTTGTAACCTAATCAATTTATATATAGGCCCTCTTAAATAATTAGGTCTAGGTCTGGGTCTTTTGATTCTTTGAAAGAGCTTTGAAATATACTAAGAAAATTGGATTGAGCCTGAGATAAACTAATGATTGATATGATTGATATTGTGAATGTTAACTTTGTAAGACACTTTGTAAATTAAATAAGACAATAATCTTACTCTGTGATAATCCAAATTTTAGTTTCAGAAAAAAACTTTGCAAGAGTTGTATCCATCTTATAACTAGTTTTGAAGCTGATAAAAAAAGATGCTCTTTCATTACTTCATCATAACCTCCAGTTTTTCATTGTCGTCTGCTGTGAACAGCTGGCAACTACACTGTCATCGTACTGAATGCTTTTATATGTTTTAAAAAATTAAAAAAAAACAACTAGACATTGTGTTGGTTGGAAATAATGTACCAGTTGTGTGAAATTATCTTGTCAATAAATGTTTCAAACATGTTTATTCCTAAAAACTCTCATCCTATTTTTAAAACCACTTTTATCATGGCTATTCAAAGTATCTCAGAGTAAAATAGGTAAAGCCTTTATCTAAACTGTGATTTTTCTTGACACAATCCTCGTAGTAGTAAAAGGTTTTGTTTTAATAATGTGTGGTAAGTAATTGTTGTTAGAAAACCATGAATGTAGGATACTATCCATTTTCATAGTAATGTCATGTATTAAAGTTTAAAATAATGGTTTAAATACAGTTCTTAGCAGAAAACCGCAAAAAATACGGGTAGCCGCGTACCGTACCGATTTTGTACCGAAAACCAAGGAACAAAATATTGTACCATACCGAACCGTACCGACCTTAAATTTTCTGTACCGCAGACCCCTAACAAAAACATAACCTGTCTTAGGCTGGGCGCACACTGATCCAGCATTTCACCTGAAGCAAAATGTTGCACATTGATTTGCTTGAAGCATTTTGTTTCTTTGCTTCTCCAGTGTGCGGGAGGTTCAAGCATCATTCAGCATTTGGTTTCAAGCAAAAATAAGAAAAAAATCATTATTATTTATATTTTTACTGGTCTTCTGCTACAATATTGTTTTAAAATGTGTGACGAGGAAGTCAACGTAGCTATTGCTGTATGTCAGTTGTTGAAAAATGCTGGACTAAATAGGAAAAAAAGAAAAAAACATTGGGTTCACCCAATGAATCTGTTGATAGACAGTAAGGCTTTCCTCTCAGAAATTAGATCAGATCCAGGGTAAGTTTACAATTATTTTAGAATAATTGCTATACTATTTTATTGGAAGGGTTTAAAATACCGTAAGTGATATCGTAAGAAATAATTATTAGATATTGTCGTGATGGTTAAATATAATGAACTAAGTAACCTTGGTAATTTCTTATTTATTTTACTACTTTAAAAGGGCTGTATGACTATCAAAGTGGTAGCAAGAAAAATTAAACAACAATATCGTTCAATGAAAATTCAAAATATAATTGTTAAGTTTAACGAAACTTCAAAACTCATTTTTCAAAGATGAGTTATTTTTCAAACCACAAAAGGTCAATTGAATCTTGAAAGCCACTAAGCTTTACCAGTTAGACGGGATTTGGCGCATGCACAGAACCTCCTTGAAACATCAAACATCATGCTGTATCGGAACCATTCGTCGAGCGGCTGCTCAAATGTTTCAAGGCGTTGCGAGGCGCCTCGCAACGTTTGCTTGATCAGTGTGCGGTCTCCCATTGAAATACATGGGGCGCTCATACCCAGCGAACGTTTTGCCTCGCAACACTTGCTTCAGGTGAAATTTTGCATAAGTGTGCGGCCTGCCTTAGAAGTTATGAGTAGTGATTGTTGGTAATTAAAACACTGTCATAGGTATGCAACTTGTCTAAATACTCTTCTAATGACACTCTTAGAAGTTTTTAAGGCACTCGCTAAGGTTCGTACCATAAATTTATACTTGTGTTGATGCGTAAACTACTATAACAGCTGATTGTTGTATTGTTATTCCCTTGATTTTTCTTTGTTTACATTTTGTAGTTTACAATTCACATTTTTTGAAGCAAATATTATGGGCTACTTTCCTAAAGACCGTTGTATTTGACCACAACATGCTCTGTTGCTGGTTGATTTTTAAAATTGTTAAGAATCAGTGGCGTAGTTTTTTAAGTAACTCTTAAGTTAAATACAGTACTTGATTGAAAAACCAGTATAGGTTATTAAATTATTTCAACTTTTGGAATTCAATTATGGTCATGAATATGACAAAATGATCATTCATTTAAAGAAATTGATTGGATCTATTTAATATTTAATTAGTTTTCTGCATTTTTGACTTCAGAGCGAGACTAGTTGGCAGTAAATTGAGAAAATTTAATAGTTGCATACATGTGGATACACTTATATTCGTCTTATTTCTTACATTCGTTAAAGGTAAAATACCATAAATCAGCAATTATACTTACAACACACGAAGATGGGTGGAGTTCGGTGCTAAACCAACGTTAAGGTGAGACAATAAGTTAGACTTGAGGTCTAGTTCTTGCAGATTAGGCAGTTTTTCCAAAACTTTCAGGCTAGATTCCACTAGTCTATTGTGTGCACTGCAAATGTATGCACTTAATTAATTATAGCTTAAAACAAAAACCAATTATTCCAGTTTACTTCAATATCTAGATTTTGTAGGTTTTTATAAATCAAAAAAGCTAAGTGCATAATGTGAATTAGCTTAAGATATCAATTCATTCACTTCCTTCACTATTTATACAAACTGGCCGAGTTAAAAAAAATACAAAATCACACAATGTAATTATAAGCTATTAGGCTTATAATATTTTTTAATTCCTAAATTTAACACTTGGAAATGGCAGGGTACAAAATGTGATTCAAATGTAGGCCTAGAATGAGTTTTTTATTCAGATCGAGTGAGGCTTTTTTTTTAAATTAGTACTTGGAATTTAATAAAAACAATATTTGTATACAATTTTTGGATCAAAGGACATGAAATATAACATGTGCCTTACAATTCATATTTTAAAAGCTGAAAGACTGGTAGGCATTGCAAAATATGTAACACATACAGAAATGAGAATACTATACTTACACAACAAGTTTGGTTAAACTCCTCAATGTGTGATTTATAGGTATGATGGTGAGAGCATTTTTGTTCAATTTTCTGAAACAAAGCATTTAAGATAGATTATGATGGCGATAAAAGAAACATTCATTAATTCATTCATAGACGAGTCGATTTAGCCCAAAAAAGCCTATACGATAGAACAAATTCCAACAAATGGTTTTTCAACGGTTTTTGGTAGTAATAGGTGTAGAAAGTACCAGGAAAAAAGTCTACCAAAATCGGACAACCGGAAGTCGGGTTTTTCCAAGATGGCCGCCGTGAGGCCCTCAAATCGACAAGATGACTGCAAATTCGTCGATTCATAGTTCAGGATTGGCCGATTTCCACGAAAATTGGCAAACACATGAAGAACTATATTTCCAACCTTAAATATGAAAACTAGGCAGACAAAGTAACCCAAAGATGAATTTTCAGGGTATTATGTGCTAAAAAAATAAGATCTTTTACCTCAAATATATGTTTTTCTAATATTTTGTACAAAGTTTGTTATAATTTCAAATTTATTTTTTCACCATTAGATTCAACACAAAAAACCTAACAATTTAGTATATTGAATCTTTGTTCTGCTTCAATTTGTTACAGAGATATTGAAAGTAATAACTTTAGTATGTTTTCTTCCGATATAACTCAATGTTAATCTTATGGAGAATAAGCATAAATATTAATATTATTTTTCATTAAACCTATATAGATAAGACTTTTTGTTCTGCTTCATATTATCTGTTTTAATATTTTTTTTACTAAAAATTCCTTTTTTGGCAGTTACCATTGCAGCAAACCTACGTATTCGGTTCCTCAGTTTTAATCATAAAGAGAATAAGCAAAAACCACTTTCTTATTAGTCCGAGAAGTATATAATATAACCTTAAAAACAATACAAGAACACTTTTTATGGTTTTATGTTGTAGTTTTGGGTGTGCAGAGTTGGATTTTACCAACATTGGACAAATTTTGAAAAAAAGATAGCATAATCATTTTCTATGCACAATTTTCTAAATATTGACTTGGGACCAACATCGATATTTATTGGGTGATCAGTACTTCATTTCGATGGGAAACGTATTTTGGCCGCCATTTTGGATCCACCTTATTGGATATAATTTTTTGTTGTTGTAACGACAGTGTTGTGACACATTATTACTATATAAACTAGATTTTCACGCATATTCCATTGCGAAATCCGTTTGTAAATACATTTTTTTGTTTTAAACGTTTTATACTTTGAAATATTTTACGATTATTTTCCTTATCTTCAGTTAGTAGTTCATTCTTAAATAATTAATGATGCAAGGGCTTTCATTTGAGCTATTGATCATTAAAATTGGACGAGTTAGAGACGAGCTACCAATCCCAAAAAAATATTAAATGTAAATTTTTATAAATCAGTTTTTATTAAATGATTTATATCTCGGGTTCATAATACGTCACAAAGTTCTTTCTGGTCTCAAATTACTTAGTAGAGAATTAGGTTTTTTATTTTATTAGTCACTAAATAATATCTGACTAATTAATAAAAAATGAGTCATGCACCTTAATTTAATATTAAACTATTTACATTTGAAATGTGTCTTTAGTTAAGTACAAATATCCCCAATTCTAATAACTCCCAATAAATAATCCATAACTACAGTAAAAGTCAATACTTTGATGAATCTTTTAAGATTATAAAGAGTATTGGGAGATATTTTTCGATTTGGGGGTATATGTCTTAAACTAAAGACAAATCTTGAAAAAAAATATTGTTAAATAAGACAGACCCATATTAAATGTGTCACATTTTATTTAGTGATTAAAAAAATTAGCCCTAACATTTACTGAGTAATATGAAACCAGAAAGAACTTGGTGGCGTATTAAGAACCCGAGATATAAATATTTTAATAAATATGTATTGCTAAAAAGTGAAATTTAATATTTTGCTGGGGTTGGTAACTAGTCTCTAACTCGTCAGATTTTAATGATCAATAGTTCAAATGAAACCCCTTAAATCACTAAATGTTTAAGGCTAGAACGAACTGCAATCATTAATATGTACTGGAGATATAAGAAAAAATAATCTTAAACAATGTTCAAAATACGAAACGTCCTTAAGAATGTTTGCAGGATAATTTTCGTTTGAATATATCTTTAAAACGAAACAAAGGTATTTAAAAACTCATTTTGGCAATGGAATGGGCGTGAAAATCTAGTTTAAAATAATGTGTCACAACATTGCCATTACATAAAAAAAAAATATTTATATCCAATATGGCCGATACAAGATGACGGCCAAAAACACGTTTCCTATTGAAATGACACTGTCATTACATTTAAAAAAATATTTATATCCAATAGGGGGATCTAAAATGACGGCCGAAAACACGTTCCCTATCGAAATGAAGAAATGACCACCCAATAAATATCGGTGGTGGTCTGAAGTCAATATCAATGAAAATGCATGTCGATTTTTTTAAATTTTTCCAATGTTGAGAAAAATTGTCATATTAAATCTTGATTCTAGGAGTTTTCCAGTAGACCTATTTTTGGCAATTTTTACTATGTTACTCTGCATACCCAACACTACAACATAAAACCATAAAACGTTTTCTTGCAATTTTTTAAGGTAATATTCTATACTTCTCGGACTACGTTTCCGAAAATACGTTTCCCATCGAAATGAAGTACTGACCACCCAATAAATATCGATGTTGGTCCCAAGTCAATATTTAGAAAATTGTGCATAGAAAATGATTATGCTATCTTTTTTTCAAAATTTGTCCAATGTTGGTAAAATCCAACTCTGCACACCCAAAACTACAACATAAAACCATAAAAAGTTTTCTTGTATTGTTTTTAAGGTTATATTATATACTTCTCGGACTAATAAGAAAGTGGTTTTTGCTTATTCTCTTTATGATTAAAACTGAGGAACCGAATACGTAGGTTTGCTGCAATGGTAACTGCCAAAAAAGGAATTTTAGTAAAAAAAAATATTAAAACAGATAATATGAAGCAGAACAAAAAGTCTTATCTATATAGGTTTAATGAAAAACAATATTAATATTTATGCTTATTCTCCATAAGATTAACATTGAGTTATATCGGCAAGAAAACATACTAAAGTTATTACGTTCAATATCTCTGTAACAAATTGAAGCAGAACAAAGATTCAATATACTAAATTGTTAGGTTTTTTGTGTTGAATCTAATGGTGAAAAAATAAATTTGAAATTATAACAAACTTTGTAAAAAATATTAGAAAAACATATATTTGAGGTAAAAAATCTTATTTTTTAGCGCATAATACCCTGAAAATTCATCTTTGGGTTACTTTGTCTGCCTAGTTTTCATATTTAAGGTTGGAAATATAGTTCTACATGTGTTTGCCAATTTTTGTGGAAATCGGCCAATTCTGGAACTATGAATCGACGAATTTGCAGTCATCTTGTCGATTTGAGGGCCTCGTGGCGGCCATCTTGGAAAAACCCGACTTCCGGTTGTCCGATTTTGGTAGACTTTTTTCCTGGTACTTGCTTCACCTATTACTACCAAGAACCGTTGAAAAACCATTTGTTGGAATTTGTCTATCTCAAGTGCCTATATTTACTCGACTATCAATACACAATTCAAATTTAGTCTAATCACAGAGAAGTAAGATGTAAGGAGGAAATATGCTTATGGAACAACCATGCGCTTTTAGCTCGGGAATGGTGGGGCAGAAATATACTAGTACCGAGCCAGGAAGAGCTATTGTTTACAACAGCAGTTGTAGCGCACAGGCTCTTCCTAAAGCATGAGCGCTATATTATGTGATGGTGAGGGGGGAGAGGAGAGCTGAAGGGGACGACCAATAGAGTTTGAACTAGACAGGAGCGACTGGTGCTAGACATGACTTCAGTGTACTATTGAATGTATCCTCTGTATCTTACTTCTCTGTGGTCTAATGTAAAAATCATATACTCTTGAGCAGTACTCGATTTGTAGAAAATGAGGTGCAGGAACTGTAACCTATTTAATGTAATTTGTACCTTTTTATGCCAATATTTTTATCTTTCTGAAAGAGAGGTACCACTGCTCTAAAGTCCAGCTAATCCAAACTGATTAAGACCGAACCCGAACGCTGTTCGCACTAGCTGATTCTTCAGGTTAGCAAAAAGAATTAAATTTGCCATGGGGGTGGGGGGCACGAATAATAAGAACAACAACAAAAAACACAGTTAATCCAACATGGTATGAAATACATAACAAACCTATAAAAAATCGCAATAGTTTGTAAATTGGCCTTAATGTCATCATTTGCATGTTTCCATAAAACAATATCAACCTTGTTATTGAGAGCCTACTGTATATCAATATTGAATTATGCATTTTTACACACTAGGATTAAGAAATACAACTTGGAAAGTTTTATCTGAATTTAGTTTTGTAAGATATATTTTTGAATTAGTGCCAATCATTAAAAAAAAATCTGGAACTTGTTCTGTTGTTGTTGGAATGTGGACATTCTGATTACACGAGTTTGGACTGTGGAACTCAAGTATACTAAAGAAATTTAATTGAACTATAGTATGACCGGATATCTGAAATCTGAAGGGGGTATAATACAAATTCATGCTATCGAGTTGTTTTAATAAGCGATGTTTGAGTTATGAAGGTGCTATACAAAACATTTTAAGATACCGAGCTGTTGAGTTCTGACAGTGATGTGATGTTACGACCTTTATTACTCAACTTTTACGTGCAAAACCTTTATAAATCGAGCTCAAGCTATTAAAATGTACTAAAGGGTGGCTGTGAAAGCAAAATTAATCAATTTATCGTGCATACGATGGCATAATTATTAGGATTTTCTTGCAAAATCGGTCCTGATATGGAAATGTTTGTCTTGACTGTTATAATAACGTAAAAAACATATTCATCCATGTCTTGTAACTTACACCTTTTCTTATTGATCAGCCTCATACTTTACCCAGCTTTTCATAATTGTTGATAAAGTGTTGTGCGGGATTACAAATTCCCTAGCAATTTCACCTTTTTTTCTTTCACCCGTCGTCAACTGTCCTAATCACTCATACACTTAAGTCAACATAACGCACAGGCATATTTTTGACTGCTACCTTCTGTAGTGTGTTCCAACTTAGGTTGGGCGTTTGGTTATTGTTAGTTGTAATGTGTTAGTTAAGTTTTTTCATCTGAGGACGGGATCAGATTCCAGATCCCAGAACGTTGTGTATTGTTTTTTATGATCGTGATGGAAAATGTCCGCAATAAACCTTTGAACAACATTAACTCACCATCACCAACAATGAACTTCAAACAAAGAATAACGCCTGAGGCGCACAAAACAATCTCAACAACTGGCAGACTAACTAGTTATTGCCAAATAAAAAAAGGACAGTGGCGTAACAGAAGTGCCCGGAGGGCCCGCAAAGCGGGGGGCCCAAGAGCTGAGGGGGCCCGGGAACCGGTGAGCGGAGAGGCCCGTGGGACGAGTGGGGCCATAAAATTGGAGTTCATTCTTATTTAAATGTAATTATCAATCATTCAATAATTGTATTGAATTGTATTAATTTTTAAGTTAATATTTTTATCATAATTTATTTACCACTCTTTTTATGATTAATCTGTTTGATCATTGTATCGGTGGTTCAAAAATAACTCTGGGGGGAGGGGGAGGGCGTTTGATTATGTTGTATCAGTGGTCTAAAAATAACTCATGAGAGGGGGGGGCCCAAAAAATAATTTGCAGGGGGCCCGTAAAAATTTGTTACGCCACTGAAAAAGGAAGTTGGATTTTCATATCTAGACAGAAATCAAAACACAACTAAATTACACTGTACAGCAAAACTTTTGAGTTATTGAGGCAAATTTTAAAAACTTTAACTTATAAGAGGTTCTTTTAACATTGTGATCCACTGGGATTTCCAAGGTTGATTAAAAAACATTTGAGATACCAAGAAAATCAAAATACAGAGATTTGAGTTACCGAGGTCCTACTGTAGGCTATGCCAAAACTATTTATATTGAGCTAGGCTGCTAGGCTATAGTTTTTTTATTTTATTTTTGTTGTTAAATAAAAAAAATTACATGTCTAATGTACATTAATAGGATGTTACTAAACATGTCAGTGTACTACAAAGAATAAACTATGTATATATTGTATGATAGGCCTATGTATTAAACAACTTGATATTCCCTGAGGAATTAGAAGTGGAGTTGTCTGCAGCAGAAACATAAGTTTTTGTTTCGATATTTTCAGATTATTCAGTCTCTCTCAATTCACAAATTGTGTTTCCTATACTTTAGGTTAACTTGATGTTTCTTCAGTCCAAATATCTTTCTAGGAAGATGTACAGAAGGAGGTATGAAGGTTGCTATATAAAACCCTAGTTAATCCTAACAACCCTTTGACAGTAGTTAGTAAATTGTTCAAACAGCTTAGTCAGGAATTCTGATAGGAAACTCACTGATAGGCTACTGGTACAGATAATTCTCTTAACCGACCCTGGATCAGCCACCGATCGGATTACCCATCTCGGTCCAGAAAGAATACAATTGTGCCTGGGCACGTCTAGCTTTGTTTTGAAACTGACTTTTTCAAGCAAATTTTAGGGTGTGATTGTAGTTAAGAAACCGTGTAAATAATGTTATATTGCAATAATATGTGTGTATTAACAAGAATTAACAAGCAATTACTATCAGCGGAGTAAACATTCAACTTTGTGTTTTATATTTAATAGAATGAATAGAATAGAATAGAATGTTTGTTTATTTTATCTTTCAGATCGGATACATATAATACACAGGTCACAATTATTGCACAACAAATTCACATTAATAAAAAGATACAAAAACGAATGAAGTTGATTACGACTATAAAGAATAATTATGCTATTTTCAGTCCGTTGATCTCACCAGGCTGACATATGACAAATTCAGAAAACAAAAATAAATCATCTTAAACATGAAAAGAACATCTACTATGTACAATAAGCGTGACCTACAAATTTTAACGTAGAGAAAAAAAATAGGGCCTCTATAGGCAAAGTCTGTAGTTGAGGTTCCGTTAATTATAAATATTCCATAAACAAAGAGCGTTCAGAAAGAAATAAATAAGATTTGAAATTAAAAACACAATGGTCTTAAACAATTGAAAAGAAAATAAGTAAGAAGGAAAATTATAATTTGAAACACTTGCCAAATAGTCTAACTTTACAAATTAGCCTAGGCCTACTCTTATTTTCAAGAGTAAAATGTGCATCTCTATAGCATAGGAGAAAAAGATTGTTTTTTAATGGCAAGTTTTAAGGCCTATGTCATAAATTCAATTTCATTGCTAGGCTATCTGAGTAAGATATAGTTTCTAACATTGAGAAACAAACATAGACGTAGAAAGATTTTATATTTTAATAACATTCCAATAATACACTTTCCTTTTTAAATACAGTTTTACTAACAAATTTACATAGTTGCCCGGTAACGTTTAAAAAGAGTCGTTTAAGGCAGGTGTAGGCTACTTTATGCACTTCATTTAAAAGTGGTGTATATGATTGGCACTGAGCAAGTGAATGCAATGGTATGAACAAGAGGTGGTTAGGCGTAATGTACAGGTCGTTGTCTTGCCTACAGTCAGCCAAAAATAGCTATACAGTATTACGGTACATTTAATCAATTGTACTGTATATGTTTCAGCTCATAACAACTGTTTGTATTTTAAACTATGAGCTCTTATATTAGACAGTGGATTGTGTGTCTGTTTGTATTTTAAAGGGCAAGGCACATATACGTAGGCCTACACAACTATGAGCTCTTATATTAGACAGTGGATTGTGTGTTCCTGCATCTGCCTGCTAGACAAACTTTCTACATAGAGTACCAATATTTTCTATACAGAAAAATATGTTTTGTGAATGTTAAACTAAAATAGTATCCTACTTACAGTTCTATCAAGTTTGTTAGTTGTGACAACTGCTTGGAGAAGTCCAATGTTGCAGAATTCAATTGATTACTGGTCATATCCCTGAAAACAGTAAAACTTTATAAATAATAAGCATGATCAGAGTAGGCTTAGGCCTAAGTTAGGTTTTCAGATTTTTCCGAGAACGTCCTTATGACAGCCTATTATGTGGTCATTTTCCCTCATTTAGTATATACAGTGCCGGCATAGGGGAAGTGAGAATAGACGGACCAGATTTCTATTTCAACTTCAAAAGAGAGCAATTCAAACCATCTTTATAAAATCAGCTCACAAACTTCATGTAAAGATTTTTTCAGTCTTCAAATATTTTAATTTTTCCACGCATAAGTTACAGTGTGTTTCAGAAAAGCGTAGCTCCTATAAGTGGACTATAGGCCTACACTACTATAGGTAATTACACTACTAGGTAATTTATTCTACATGCAAAAATAAGTCGAAAATGTAAAATAACTTCTTTTTTTTCGGCTTAGTTTAGCCGTAATCCGCCATTTTGTACTTTTTTTTTTAATAATTTATAACTCAAAAGCCCTTGGAGATATTTTTTATGAAACTTGGTATAAACTTTAAGTCTACAGCCATAAACATTCTCTGAAAATATCTTTGATCAGGCTCATCGAGTTTCAAATTGGTGACCATTTAAAATTGTTAAAGTCAAATTCCATGAAAACCAGCAATTAAAACAAATTGATTGATGTAACATCCCATTTGTTGAGCACCATTGATGAACACTCTCTAAAGCTACCTGTAGCCAGTAAACAGTCATGACGAGATTTCACCTCCTTGAACAACTTGATGTCGTCAGCGAAAAGGAGGAAAGGATGTTTGTTTATGATAAGATAGATTTATTTGGTTAAATGAGGTTTTAAATGACTGAAATAACAAGAAACGAATTGTTACGCTGGTTACACACTGGGCGGTTTCTGCCGTGGCGGCGAAACTGCCGTCGCCACCTCGAAAAAAAGTCGAGCTTACACATTCAGCGGCAAAATTACCGCCACGAAGATCAGTAGCCAAAACAATGTTTGTAGTTCTTCATCGCTTAATGTGTTGTGACTTCTCTGTTTCATGAGTGTTCAGTTAGGTTAGGTTAGGTTTGTATTTTGCACATTTTTTTAAAGTATATATTATTAAGTATTATTTGACGCTACTACTATTCTTAATGAATTTGTGAATAAAGATTATTTCCCTACAGTTACCTAACAATGTACATGTTCTCTCACTGATTTGAGAAAGCAAAGTGGCCAATTCGCTCATCAGTGAGACAATGTTAACATTGTCTCACTCTAATTACTTTGTCTCACTCCAGATTTGCAACGTGAAGGCTCGAAATAGTGAGCGCGTAACATGCAGGCAACGTCGTATGCGCGCGAAATACGTTGGCAGCACTGGCTGTAAATCAGCTGGTCAGCTGTTGTACTGTTGTATTTGTCACTTCACGTAAAATGTTAAATTAAAAGTTCACTTCTGTGTAAAAATAGGTTATGTTTCTTCACCAATTTATTTGTTTTATGGTAACTGTAGGAAAAGTATAATGTGCAACTCGAGTTCAAAGTACAATTGCCTCACTCGAGAAACCATTCCTCACTCGCCTACGGCTCGTGAGTAAGGATTTCTCTCGAGTGAGTCAATTGCTCACTTTTCTCACTAGTTGCGCAAATAACTATTGTCTATTGTCTATTGTCTAAGTGTTTAATTCAAAATGGAAAGGCAACAACTTTTAGCACTTTTGTTGTACCGTCAAAGGAAAAGAAGATAGCAGAGAAATCGCTCGTCAACCACAAACACTAAAAACAATAAATAAATGTTATAAACAACTCACAAACTTAACAACAAGACACAAATTAAAAGGCTGATTTTCAAAGACCTCTGACTTGGAGCAACTGGGAAAGACGACTGATCAGCGGCGACGGTAGAAAACCGCCAAATGTGTAAACGCCCATTTGGTCACGTACGCCACTGCGTAGACAAGAGCGGCAAAAACACCGCCAGCCGCAGTGGCAGTGGACGGCTGCACAGCTGCCGCCAACGGCAATATGGCCGCGCGGCGTTCCTGCCGCCCAGTGTGTAAGCTTCCATTTAAGTCTATAGACTACTGCTCGAACGGCGGCGACGGCGAAATTACCGCCGCGGCAGAAACCGCCCAATGTGTAACCGGCGTAAACAAAACACGAAATCTACAGTACACCGGACAGAACTAACAATAAAATTGGCTTCAGCTCAGCTGTACCATAAGGATGGGAATTCTATTAAGGGAGTATGTTTTATTTATGGTATGATTAAAGTTATTTTATGAGTTCTGCAAGTGAGTTTTTTCTTTTCTTTGAATGGCGTGTTGCAGGAACAAACAAATTTAATTAACTAATATGTAATTGGTTGCAAGTTTAAGTAGGTAGCCTACTCTTTAAAAGTTACTTAAGTTCTTAAGTTAGTTTATTTGACATTTTACATCATAGTCACGGAAATAAAGCATTTAATTTCATTTGGCCCAGTCCATATTATTACCAAGCTCAACAAAGCCTCTTGCAATAGGCCTAGCCTCACAAAAATAAAGTAACTTAGGGCTAGTCTATAGGCTAAGTAGCCTTAGAATGAACTTTGAACTTCTCTGGCAAGGAGGTAGGTAAGTAGACTTAACAATCATTTTCCATCTTTCAGCATAACTTAATTTGTCTATAACTTATTAAGTTATAGGCCTAGCTAAATATAACTTATGATTAAGTTTTAGGCTAAAATATATAAAGCCGACCTAGGCTAGGCCTATATAAATAGTCTAGGCTACCTATATAAGTTAGCCTATTCCTACTTAGGCTATAGGTCGGTCGCTTGGAAAGCAGCCTACATGCCAATGCTAGAGGAGGTCCGCTATCGGCTGCACTTTACTTTAGGTCCTACACTCATTCGAATAAAATATCGAATATTCGATTGTTTCATTCGATAGGCCTATATCGTTTGGTTAGTTAGGTTAGGTTAACCATACCTAACTAACCAAACGATATCAAATGAAACGATCGATTAATCGATATATCGATCGATATTTTAACTCGAATGAGTGTAGGACCTAAAGTAATGTGCAGCCCCGCTATCCAAGCGGCTGACTTATAGGCCTAAGTTGGGCATTTCAAACATCATACTGGAATTAATTTGGTTTTGATAGGCTACAGTAAATTTAAAATCTACTAAATTTAAAAGCTGCCCAAAATATTCAATAGCCAAGGTAAAGAATACAGCTTAGTTACTGGTCTTGAGAAAACTTCAGTGGAGGCCTAGGCCTAGGCTTACAAAATTAACAAAAGGCTAGGACTTGGCCCTGGCTAGGCCTACTTACAAACTGGTGACCCAGGATGGTAGATCATTTGGAAGTTTAAACAGTTCAAGGTTACTACAGTTAATTGACTGTCTAGCGCATTGGCAGTAAAATGGACATGAAGAAAATTCTTCACCAAACACACTATTGACACACAACCACAATACACCAAATCCCGAAACATAACAGAGTAGCGACAACATGATTTTCCAACTTTATTGGTTCATTGCGTGAAACGTTTTATGCACACAATCCTTAAATTTGAATTTGATTTTTGCTCTGTTGAAATATAGTTTTATTATCTGTTATTGTTCTTATCGCCATCGTCCTTTCCAGTTAAATCCTCCAAGTAATGTTCCAAGGATGAGCGGAGCGGCGACAGCTTCACTTCACAGTCACAGTAGTCTCTTGATGTTGATGCTCACTGCTCGACAGAAGCAGCTTTAAAATGTGTTTTGATTTCATGCTGTTCTAAACACTCATAACCACGAATCAGTAAATTTACCACCCGAACCCGAAAATACCTATAGATAATTTTCTCAAGATACAATACTATGTTAGGCTATTACAAAAATTTTAGTCACATCATTCACATCACATCGGTTCGGAGAAGAGAAGAATGAAGTGAAGAGAAGTAGAAGAGAATTATGAGACGAGACGGATTGTTTTGCTGCTGACTACACGCACACATATACACAAGCCATACAATACAATAAAAAAATTCAACGCGTTGCGTTGTTTTTTTCACTTCGCTTTGCTTTATCTGGGACAGGATCCGAAACAAAGAGAAGAACTAAAAATCACCGTGCAGTGATATCATATTTTATACAATTATGAAATGGGAGACTTTTTGAATCTTATCTAAAGAATAAGAGACTAGTAGTTGTGTATTATTTTGATGATGTTCATTATTCAGTCTCACGAGGTTTCCAGGTTTACTTGGGATATGTTGCTCCCCAAAGGATTTCTCTTGGGCCCTTTGTTATTTTTAATTAGTTTTAATGATTTGCTTCATAATGTGCAATGTTGAACCCTTTTTTATGCTGATAACAGAACATTTCTTAATAACGCTCCTAGTAACTTGCTGCTGAGTCGGTGGCTCAGTCGGTAGCGTCGCGGACTTCGGGCTCAAGGCAGCGATGTCGTGGGTTCGGATCCTGAGGCCCTATTTTTGAAATGGTTGACTGTTGAGTTGAGTGTCGAGTCATTCTATTTCCAATCGTTTCGTATTTTTGAAACGGTTGACGGTGGACTTATACAACCAAAACTACTCAACACCTATCGAGCTGTTGAGTGGAGGTTGACTGCACTTTCTTCTTCCTCTCTTTCGGCAAAAAATTACTCTTTTTGAGACGACGCCATATTGTTTTGTTATTGCTTTAATTTACTAATTGCGATTTAGAGGTTATGTATTTGTTGTCAATGTATTAGCACCCAATTATGCGATTGTTTTCTGTAGAATAATCGCATTTTAATTTTATTTACTGTGTCAATACTAGACTATTTAATCAAGGGTTTTATTCTTGTTGGAATGTTTGAAATAGACTAGGCATACTAATTGAACTTATTATAAGATAATTAATTGTTATTAGACCTATGATTTATTAAGGATTGTGGTAGAGAGAAACAATATCATAGTTTGTTTGAATACCATTCGCCTAATAAAGGGATCAAATTAATTTAAGTTACGATATGCTTTCAGTGCAATGGCAAATAGCCGCTTTAACCTAAATAAAAAACAATTAAAAATATTATAAAACAACCAGATGAAGGAAACTAAAATAAGGTGATGTGTTCCGAAATAGAGACGAAGAAAGCAAATAATAATGTATTTAGGATGAGTGTAGGACCTAAAGTAAAGTGCAGCCTATGCCTAAACTTTTAATTAGCTACACCCTAAAACAAACATCCATAGTAAATTTTATTTTTTATACTTAAGTTTATTACTTTATTTAGTTTACTTTAGTTAATTACTTAAGTTAAGGTACTTTGCAATCACTAAGATTAAGCAAGACATAACCTCAATCTCAATCTCTCAAGAACGGAGTTGACAGTTTACCTCAGTGTCTCGAAATATGGCAGATTGAGATTAGCTGCCAGATTTTAGAGAGTAAGAAGAGGTTAAATCGCGAGCGTTTCGGGGCAGGAATTGGACTAGCCTACTGCGCATGCGCAAACCGTAAAATTGAGCTGATCTCAAATGAACGACTCTCACACAATTGAAGCAAAAGAGTTGTTTACTGTTCTCGTTCTGTCGTTCTGTCATCATCTCTCTGCCCCTGCCGTGCCCCAGCGATTGTAGTTTTCAAAGTCTTTAAGCTGTGTTTTTTTTTTTTTTAAATAATTTGAGGTTTTATCGAAGTATCGTATATGTTTTGAAGTCGGATTTAAGATTTAAGTGTATAAAAGAGTGTTTATTGTTATGCGTTCTACCGTGCCATCCCCGTGCACCCTTGTAAGTTAAAGTTAGTTTTTATACTGTAGGCCTAGTCTTTAAAAGTGTTTGTTGTGTTTTGTTCCAAGTGTTGTCCAAATAAAACAAGGATACAGTTTCTTAACTGGGCTACACTAATAACGATTGAAACTATCGATTCGATTAGTAAACTGCGATTTTTTCACCATCAACAAGTTAGGTTAGGTTATGACAGATTAATTTTATAATAGACATTATATTTTAAGATATTGATTATTAATCAAGATTTCAATTCGATAGTTCCAATCGATATTAGCGTAGCCCAGTTAAGAAACTGTTGTACCCCTGTAGGGTCACACAGTTAGGACTACAGTACCGACATTTCCCATAAACATTGCAAAAGGACAAATCTTATAATTATATAACTGTCTAGGCTGTGTGGTAAAAGGCACTTAAAAATAAGTTACCAAGCGGTGTAACTTTTGTATTAGAAACCCTTGGGTGAGTTGTATAAAGGCCTACTAATCTTTAGGTTTGACACATTTAAACCTATAGCCTGTAAACCATTATCTGTTTGGAAAAAAGTCTATGCCGTAGACTAAATATGGTCCTTAAGCCAATTAAATGTGTAGGCTAGGCTAACTAACTAACATTTAAATAGCTTAGGCCTTGGCTAGGCTTTGCATTACCCTGGCGTAGGACGACCGTGAAGACAGCTATCGCCAGCTGTCGACCCTACATTTTTTCCCCTCCCACAACGACTTCCCCTCTTCTCCCTCTCGACCAATCAGATACCGCCTAGCTTAGAGTAGTACAGTCGATGTTCAAAAAAGAGACCTCGCATATGCAACTACCTACTACGGATAATTTACAGATTTCCAAACCAAAACTAATTCGCTATACTTATTTATTAAGTAGTGAATATACTTAAATAATATATGTATTACGACAAAGTATACTAGTGGAAAATTATATAGTTATTTACTTTTATCGCAATATACATATATTACCTAAATAATGTATAAACTCGTTTCTATCTAAAGCTACTGTTTGAAATATAAAAGTAACTATAAAAACTCAGTATAAATAAATTTTTTATTTCAAAATCTCAATATACACTATATTATTATATATTATAATTATATTAATTATATACATTAATTATATACATATATATAGAGGTAGGTCTATATGTAAGCTTTAATTGTAAATATGTAAATTATAACCTAAAAGTGTACATATGTTATAACAAAATAAAAAGTGGTGGAAAATAGGTCAAAGTTCCCCTAATCTCTTCCATACCGCTTATGCTGAAAAATCCAGTCAGCCTTCGACGGGTTATACAATTATGTTCCTTAACAATTCCCAAACTTTTTATTGCTGAAATTAGTTAAATTACATGTAACCTTAAGGTGGACATATGTGATAAGACAATAAAAGTGGTGGAAAAAAGGTTAAAGTTCTCCTAACCATTTCCATACCGCGTACTCTGAAAAATCCAGTCAACTTTCGACGGGTTATGAAATTATGTTCCTTATCAATACCCAAACTTTTTATTGCTGAAATTAGTTTAGGTACATGTAACCTAAAAGTGTACATATGTTATAACAAAATAAAAGTGGTGGAAAATAGGTTAAAGTTCCCCTAACCATTTACTTACCATTCAATCTGTAGAACTCACTCAACTTTCGACGGGTAATAAAATAATCTTCCTTATCAATTCCCAAACTTTTATTGCTGAAATTAGTTGAGGTACATGTAACCTAAAAGTGTACATATGTTATAACAAAATAAAAGTGGTGGAAAATAGGTTAAAGTTACCCTAATCATTTATATACCGCTCACTCTGGAAAAACGAGAAAACTTTCGACGGATAATAAAATTATGTTACATATCAATTCCCAAACTTTTTATTGCTGAAATTAGTTGAGTTACATGTAATCTAAAAGTGTACATATGTTATAACAAATTAAAATTGGTGGAAAATAGGTTAAAGTTGCCCTAACCATTTCCATACCACGTACGCTAAAAAATCTAGTCAACTTTCAACGGATAATAAAATTATGTTACATATCAATTCCCAAACTTTTTATTGCTGAAATTAGTTGAGGTACATGTAACCTAAAAGTGTACATATGTTATAACAAAATAAAAGTGGTGGAAAATAGGTTAAAGTTACCCTAACTATTTTCATACTGCGTACGCTGAAAAATCCAGTCAACCTTCGACGGATAATAAAATTATGTTCCTTATCAATTCCCAAACGTTTTATTGTTGAAATTAGTCAAAGTACATGTAACCTTAATGTGGACATATGTGATAAGACAATAAAAGTGGTGGAAAATAGGTTAAAGTTCTCCTAACCATTTCCATACCGCGTACGCTGAAAAATCCAGTCAACTTTCGACGGGTAATAAAATTATGTTTCTTATCAATTCCCAAACTTTTTATTGCTGAAATTAGTTGAGTTACATGTAATCTAAACGTGTACATATGTTATAACAAAATAAAAGTGGTGGAAAATAGGTTAAAGTTCCCCTAACCATTTACTTACCATTCAATCTGTAGAACTCACTCAACTTTCGACGGGTAATAAAATAATGTTCCTTATCAATTCCCAAACTTTTTATTGCTGAAATTAGTTGAGGTACATGTAACCTAAAAGTGGACATATGTTAAAAGAAAATAAAAGTGGTGGAAAATCGGTTAAAGTTCACCTAATCATTTCCATACCGCGTACGCTGAAAAATCCAGTCAACTTTCGACGGATAATAAAATTATGTTCCTTATCAATTCCCAAACTTTTTATTGCTGAAATTAGTAGAGGTACATGTAATCTAAAAGTGTACATATGTTGTAACAAAATAAAAGTGGTGGAAAATAGGTTAAAGTTCCCCTAACCATTTACTTACCATTCAATCTGTAGAACTCACTCAACTTTCGACGGGTAATAAAATAATGTTCCTTATCAATTCCCAAACTTTTTATTGCTGAAATTAGTTGAGGTACATGTAACCTAAAAGTGTACATATGTTATAACAAAATAAAAGTGGTGGAAAATAGGTTAAAGTTACCCTAATCATTTATATACCGCTCACTCTGGAAAATCGAGAAAACATTCGACGGATAATAAAATTATGTTACATATCAATTCCCAAACTTTTTATTGCTGAAAT